AGCACCTTCTAGATAGCCCCTGTGACCACGAGCGGAGGCCCTGGAGGCTCCATGGTCCTAAATATTCACCCAGCACTTAAGGTCATCTCCTCAGGAACCTACAGAGTCACTGAGGGAGCACCTGTGAGTTCTGTTAGCAGTTCTGGAAAGATGCCACCAACACACCTGCTCGGGTCACCTCCTCCCTGTCCCCTCTCTGTTTTTCTCTACCCTCCCCCACCTCTTTCTTAACTGCTTGGACTCTGGTCCACATGGAGTCCAGTGCTGCCCTGCCCCGCACTACACCTGGGAGGAGGAGACACAGGATCTGAGAACTTACCCAGAACTTCGAGGAGCAGTCTCGACTTCATGTTCAGAAGGGCAGTACTTCCAGAAGGCCAGAGGTGCTGGGGCTTTCGTCTGTGAGCTGTCAGGGTCCTGAGGTCCATTGAGTGGGTCACCTGAGTCTGTTTTAATGGAAAGGAAGTGGCGGTTCCGAGAGTAGCATGGGAACCGGAGCTGCTCTCCTGCCTGGTGGGGGGTGTGTGCCCAGGTGCCAGGCACCCACTCTCCTGGTGTCTCATCACTAACGTCCTGGACCCTTTCACAGAAGCGGGGCCTTCTCCTGGGACTGAGCACACAGAGTTGGTTTTCTGGACAGTGTAAATATTTGCCCCTGGGGAATACCACATTCTCAGGAACGCAAGCCAGAGAGGCCTGTTGGAGTCTGCAAAGAGTCGACTTGGAGAAGCAAAGCAGTTTCTGGCAGTGTGTCCATCACATTTCTCTCTTGAAGCAAGAATTGCGTGCATGCGCGTCTCCGGCCCTCAGCCTTGTTACCGACCTGTTTAGGTTAGGAGGAGGAATCCAGTCCGCAAGCTCGGTGTCTGAGCCAGTGGCGTTACCTTATTTGTCCTTACAGCACCGGTCTCCCTGTTAAGGGGAAGGTCCCACAGTGTGGCGTGTGGGCACTCCTGGCACACGGTGGGCACCTGGAGGGCCCCAGCTCCCTCCTCGGAACCCATTCCTTGTTTCACCAAGAGGAAACTGAGGCTTGAGCGATTCAGCGGCCGACTGAGAATTGTTGGCCAGTGTAGCAGCCTGGAGACCAGGCCCGGCTTTGGACAGTGGGAGCTGAATGAACACTGGCCCCACAGACCCTTGTCCTCCTCCCCGGAACCTACGGCTGTGGCCTGATGTGAAGAAGGGTCTCTGCAGATGTGATCCCATCCTGGTGGGGTGCCAACCGCCCTCGTGAGTATCCGTGAGAGGGAGACACTGAGAGACTCGACCCAGAAGAGACATACGCAGGGAGAGGCCCTATGACAACACAGCAGAAGCTGGAGGCGTGGCCACAAGGCCAGAACACCTGGGGCCACCAGGAGCTGGAGGAGACAAAAGGACCTTCCCCTGGGACCTGCAGACACCGTGCAGCCCTGTGATGCCTGGCTTTCTAACTCTGGCCTCAGAACTAAGAGCGTGAATTTCTATTGTTTAAGCCCCCAGTTTGTGGCCATTTATCATGGCTGCCCCAGGGTACTATCACACTGTCCCCCAGGCTCTGCTATCCTCAACAGATCCTGTTTTTAAATGTTACTTATTTTTTTAGAAGGAGAGGTAGGGAGAGAGAGAGAGAGAGAGAGAGAGAGAGAGAGAGACATCAGTGTGTTGCTCCACTTATTTATGCATTCATTGGTTGATTCTTGTACGTGCCCTGACCTGGGGTCAAACCCGTAACCTTGGCGTATCCCAACAATGCTCTAACCGAGTACCTGGCCAGGGCCTCGGACTCTGTTTATTGAAGCCCACCCAGCTCCCAAACACCTCTGCACTAACCTCCTTTAAAGAGCCGTGGGCTGAACTAACACAGATCTTTGCAAGGAAACGCGCAGGTTTTATCTGTTTTATCTGAAAAGAGGAGACACCTGTCCTTCCTGGGACAAAACAACTGAATGAGTCCCCATGGCTGCTGGTTGGAAACACAGCATGTCTCATAAGGTCTCTTTTTCTGGTGCTCAGCCTCCCTCAGTCATCAGGTGAAGAAGAAGCAGCTCCCCCCACACTTTTCCCCTCAAAGGTCTTTCCCAGAGGTTCCCACCTTTGTTGTATGCAGGAGCATGGGTTTCCAAGGAAAACAGAGGCCCCTGGCAGCTTGGGAGTGTGTTTGCTAAGATCCCAGAGGCAGCAAAGTTTGAAGGAATGTGTGAACAGTGGAAGCTGAAGAGCAGGGGTACTTGGGATAGTACCCCTGTACCCTTCCAGGGACAGGTCCAGGGCAGCATTGGACTTGGGACAGACCCTTCCAGCACAGGGCTGTTTGCTGGGGAGGAAGAGCAGCTTAGTCTCGTGCTATGGCCTGTGTTCAGGACGGAGTTGGGCAGGAGATACGGATGGTAGCCTTGGGGCAGCTCATCGATGGGCCAGAGTGGTCTTTCCTGAGCGCCCCTGCAAGGTGAGGGGGACCCCACAGCAAAGGTCGAAGTCCCCTAACACCGACATGCAAAAGAAGGACCTGGGTGTTCATGAAGCATTGGGATGCCTCAGGCTGAAATCCAGTCCCCGTGGCCAGCAGATGCCGGGGAGCGGATATATAATGCACCAGGGCAGCTGCGGATGGGAGCAGGAAGCCAGGAGAGCGTCGAGCACTGTCCCCCGCCCTAATCCCCTGTGCTGCAGGGGATCAGTAGGGCAGGCCCACCCTGTTTGCTTGATAACGGAGCCCCAGGATCTGTGGCAGGAGCAGAGCTCCCAGCCAGGGGAGTAAGGAGCACAGTGCTCAGGACCCGCCACAGAAACCTGGCTGGGCAGAAGGTGGGCCGGATCGGGATGAGAGGCGGACTTTTTTTTTTTTTTTAGATTTTATTTCTTTGCCTGGGCTGGTGTGGCTCAGTGGGTTGGGTGCCAGCCTGCAAAGCAAAAGGTGGCAGGTTCCCAGTCAGGGCACATGCCTGGGTTGCGGGTTCAATCCCCAGTCGGGGGGGTGTGAGAGGCAAAGGGTTGATGTTTCTCCCCCACACTGATGTTCCTCTCCCTCTCTTTCTTTCTTTTAAAATTTTTATTTATTTATTTTTAGACAGAGGGGAAGGGAGGAAGAGAGGAAGAGAAACAGCAGTGTGTGGCTGCCTCTCAATGTGCCCCCCACTGGGGACCTGGCCTACAACCCAGGTGTGTGCCCTGACTGGGAATCGAACCAGCGACCCTTTGGTTCACAGGCCCGCACTCAATCCACTGAGCCACACCAGCTGGGGCTCGCCCTCTCTTTCTTCCTCCCCTTCCTTCTCTTTTTTAAAAAAAGATTGTATTTAAGTTTTATTATTTATTCGTTTAGAGACAGAGGGAGAGAGACATCAATGTGTTCCACTTATTTACACATTCACGGGTTGATTTTATTTACTTTTAAATAAGATCTTTTAAAAAAGATTTTACTTTTAAATAAATTTAAAGATTACATTGATTTTTTAGAGCAAGGGGAAGGGGAGGAGAAAGAGGGAGAGAAACATCGTTCTGTTTCCTGTTGTACGCCAGCCCCAGCCCCCACCCCTGACAGCGCAGGGATATGCCCCCACTGGGATTAGAACCTGCGAACTTTCCGTTTGCAGGCCAGCACCCAACCCCCTGAGCCACACTGGTCAGGGTGAGAGGCAGACTTTTATAGGCATGAGGCTGGGATCCTCTGGGGGTGGCAAAGGGAGCGAGAGAGAAAGCGAAGCTCCAGGAGCTGGGGTCTCCGCCACAGGGTGCTCAGATCAGGATAGGTGGGTAAGGGGCACCCCAGGATGGGGCGGGGCTCTGTGGGAGGTGGGCACTTGCTGGACTTCAGAAGGTGGGGTATCTGCTTGTGCCCCATCTCACTCGAGGGCCCCAGTTATCTGTGACTTGGCACCTAGGAGGTCACCCCAGTGGGGAGGGGCCGCACAGTTGGCCAGCATCCCTGTGGTAGGTTTATCCGTGGCAATTAAAGCTTTTGGCCTTTTTGTTTAGCCAACACAGCATAGATTAAAGGGCATTTTTATGTAACCAGGACGAATTTGACTGAAAGCAGCCGTCACGGGGATGAGAAATTGTTACTTTTCTCCCAAATGCTCTCCCCCCACCCCATCCCACGCTTATTTGAGCCTGTCTGCATCTCAGAGGTAGCTGCTGATTTAGCTTGCCGGTAAACACCGTAGATTCTAGCGTTGGCTATATGTGGAGGAAGTTTGTTTTCAGAAGGAACTTTCAGGCACTTTAGTGCAGTACTCACGTTGGATTCCAGGCCTGGGGACAAGAGAAAGATGAGGGGCCTTGAGTGACGCCGTGGCTCCCTGTCAGGAGGAAGGATAAAGCCGTGGGGCCGAGAGGACTGTCCTGTCAAGTAGCCTTGGGGGTTCGTGCCCACATGCAGACACCTCTGTGTCCATCCTCTCCCAGGCCCCCACCACCCTGCAGCCGTTGAGTCAGGACAGATATGTCTGGGAAGCAGAGGGCACCTGCCCACCCTAGAGTCCCCAGGAAGCCCTCCTGCCCCTGCGGTGAGTGGCTGGTATAGGCACAAGGCTCTGCCAGGCAGGGTCCTCTGGTTCAAGGTGCTTCCCTGATCACCCCGTTCATATTTCTTCTCCTCGTGTCCTTCACTTTTGTGGGCTCATTATGAGGATCATGTGAGCTTTTGTTCTGCAGAGTTTCTGTTGGAAGTATCCCATTTCTCCATGACTGGTTTTGGGATTGGCTCTGAGGGCTTCTCTGAGCCGACCCCTCAGCCTCATCTGGCTGCTCTGGGGGAGGTGCCTTCCCCCTGCCCCACCACCAGTGCCCCACAGCCGGGGGCCCAGCCCCCTGCGTTCCCTGGCAGCAACAGGGCATCACTCACCCAGTTCTTGTGTCTGGCAGCTACATGTTGCCCTGGAGGTGGTTCTAATGGAACCAGATGACACCGTGGGGTGTGCACGGGTTGGCACCTCTGCAGTGACACCCCTGAAGGCTGGTGCTCACGGCCTGCTCCACCGAGCCATGCAGTCACACGGTCCCTGTTCTCTCTGCAGGAACTTCTCAGCGGTGACTCCACAGAGGGACCTTTCCGGGAGGACCAGTGTCCTCTAGAGGGTAAGTCCTGCTCCCCAGACCACACAGACTGTACCCTGCACCCCAGGCATGTGACAGATGAACCTCTGATGACATGGACCGCCCATGCTCCACGCTCCTGAACTTCCCCACCAAACCCAGAGCAGCCCAAGGCAGCCTCCTCCTCACCTCCGTCTCTGAAGCCACTGCTGACTATGTCTGGCTGTCCCAGGCTAGGGCTGCAGGCCTGGGAAGAACCACAGGCTTCCAGATGCACCTTTGCGTATCCCCACTGCCCCGACTCACCTGCTTGGGCCGAGCTGGGCTGGGGAAAACAGGTCCTCCTTTCTCCTTCCCATACCAGTGGCCCTGCCCCCTGAGAAGGCCGAGGGTCGAGAGGTCTTCAGTGCAGATGAGGCTGAGAGAACAGCAAGCCGCGAGGGCCTTCGAGGCCTGGGCAAGAAGCACCTGAACATCGACGTAGGTCTTTGCTCTGCCTCACGGTGCACAGGGGTCTGCAGCTGGGATGCAGAGGCACACATTGGCCCTAAAACAGTCTCTCGCCTGGACAGTTTGCTTGAGGTTCAGCCGGTTGGAGGAGTCATGGCAAAGCTTGCTTGTGCTTCTAATGTCCACAAGCTCTGGGAGAGGGGTGGTGTACAAGGAAGGGGTCACTGCATATCCAGCTCAAACTGGCCGATGTGGCACCAAATAATCTGGGGGCCTCCCCAGCTGTGGGACTAGCACCTCGGGAATGACACAGAGGTCTACCATTGATTGGTCTCCCAGCTCATCCAGGGCAGGAGCTTGAGGGAGCAATGAGGGGGCCTGTTCTCCTAAGAGTGGGTGGGCTCAGGGGTCCCAGCATAGGGTGATGACCCCACCTGCCTCTGCCCCCACGTGTCCTGCAGGCGCTCCAGTGTGACGTCTCGGTGGAGGAGGACAACCGCCAGGAGTGGACCTTCACACTCTATGGATTCGACAACAGTGGGAAGGCCACCCGGGAGGTGATGTGCTTGTGTTTTTGGAAGATGGTCCCCAGGTCGGGGCTGGCAGCAGACAGGCCATGTCCTCTGTGATGGGGAGACAGGCTGAGCCCGTGGGGTAGGAGGAGAGGCTGGACCTTCCCAGGGTGAGGGCAGGGTGGTGGATCTAGGCAATCGAGGCAGCCCAGGGAGTCCTGTGGCCCCAGGCTGTCGGCCCTGCATGGCCAGGTTCTGGATCCCCTGGGCACAGTGGTGAGAGACCTCGGGGTGGCCCCGGCACTGGCCTCTGCTGGCCGTGTGTCCAGGATGGGCAGTGTGCCTCTCGAAAGGAAGCAGGCACATAGGATGACAAAAATAAGTGTCACTGGGTTTGAGTTAAATGTTGGTAGTTATTTGATTGCGAAGTCCTTTGACAGATTCGGTGTGAAATTTAAAAGGTCTAAGAGATGTGATTCCAAGGGCAGCAGGGCTACTTACCCAGGCTGTTTGGTGCCACGCGGGGCTAAAGTTGAAGTAAAGAGGGCTGCCATGGTGGTCATTCTGTCTGAGCCAGGGTCTGTGTGGAATGCAGAGGGACTCAAACGGGCAGGCAGCCTGGAGGCGGTGGCACGGGGTGGGCAGATCCCAGCCTGGTCTGCCTGTGTCCGTGACGCTGGTGCCATCCTCAGGACATGTCCAGCCTGATGCACACCATCTATGAGGTCGTCGACGCCTCAGTCAATCACTCCTCCGGCAGCAGTAAGACCCTCCGTGTGAAGCTGACCGTCAGCCCCGAGCCTTCCAGCAGGAGGAGGGAGAGTCCCCCTGCTGGACAGGGTGAGGGGCCTATGTCTTCTCAGATGCCCTGAAGATCCTGCTTTAAATGGCAGCCTACCGCCTCCTTGCAGACACCCCTTCTGACTCCCCGCCCCCACTCTGCATTTCCCGAGAGCCCTTATCTCCACACACCAGGCCATGGGGACTACTGTTCATCGTTTCTACTGTTCAGCACCACCCCCCCCCACACACACACACCTGGGCAAAATCTCTGGTTTCCCGAACATGGAAAGCAGGGCCTGGCACCTGGCAGGGGCTCAGCAGTATTTGCTCAGTGAACGACTGAACGAGTGCACAAACGGGTGAGGCAATTCCTTCTTTCAGACCGGGAGCCCACTCGCTGCAGGACGGAAGGCGAGCTCTCCGAGGACTCCAGGGCGGCTGACAGGAGGCTGGCTGCTTATATCAGGTAAGGGGCCGGGACCTGGCTCCGCTCTCCAGGTGTGCCCTGCTCGGGTGGGAGCAGCCCACCCACACCTCGCTTCCTGCAGGCCTCGGGACTGCTCCCTCAGGGCAGACTGCCAGGAGGAGCACCTGGGCTCCCGTTGGGGCGAGGGTGCCACCTTATGGCCTGGCATTCTGGAACCGAGAACACCCAGGGTCTGTCTTGAGAGATGGGTGAGGCTTGAAGGGCGAGTCAGCCTGGAGACCGTGAGTCTGGCATTCTGCACACTATGGTCCCACTTGCCGGCTGTGGCAGTGGCAGGGACAGTGGAGGTGTCAGATCAGTGACCCACTCTCTGCCTCAGAGCTCGACCAGATGTCCTAGGTGGGCCAGAAGACAGGAGTTCTTGCAGGTTCCATAGGCAGTTTGCAACAATGATCCTCAGGTGTGGCTGGGGCCCGGGCTGGCTGGCCACCTGTCCTGGACACTCACCCTTTCTGACGCTCCTCTCTGGGCGGTGGGTGCTGGTCAGAGCCCACTGACCATCCGCTCTAGTGTCCCCTTCCTCTCTGAGGAATGTCTGCTCTGGCCTGGGGCGGAGGTCAGGCCCCTTCTGCCCTGTGCCCCATGCAGGAGGTCCAACGCTGACTCCCACCCCTGCCCCGTGAGGGGGCTGTACTGCGTGGATGAGAACACTGAGCGGAGAAACCACTACCTGGACCTGGCTGGAATAGAAAACTACACATCTAAGTTTGGACCTGGTAGGTACCAGAGACCAGTCCCTGGGTGAGAGACTCCCTTAGGAGCTTGAGGGCTCCAGGGCTCCTGCAACAACTATGCTACAGCATTGCCCACGTGTGTGTGGGGTTCCTCAAGGCAAGGTGGCCAGGCCCTACAGAGGGTCTCACAGTCTGTGTCCCCTGTGTACAGGGTCCCCACCAACACAGGCCAAGCAGGAGCACCAGGGCAAAGCTTCACACCCCCCAGGCAGGTCTCGCTCCCAGGAGTCGGATGCACACACCATGCACAACCGCAGGTCCCAGGTGCTGGCTGACCATGTCCTGCTGGCCAGTGAGCCCGCTGCCCGGGTCCTGGACATGCAACCCCGGCTGAAGGGGCAGGAAAAGCAGTTCCTCAAGTCCCCCAAGGGCTCGGGCAGGCCGCCCGGGGTGCCCAGTGGGAGTGTGCCTGGTGGAGGCAAGCCCGGGAGGGCCTTCGGCTACTACCCACCAGCCACCCTGCCCCAGCCCCCCCAGGACGGCCACCACCTCCCACAGCCTCCACCGCAGCCCCCGCCACAGCCCTATGGCCACAAAAGATACCGGCAGAAGGGCAGGGAGGGCCACTCACCACTCAAGGCCACACTGGGCCAGCCTGTGGTAATGGAGCACGAGGTGGTACGGGACCTGCCACCCCTGCTGGTGGGGGAGGCCTACTCAGTGCCCCTGGTCCAGCGCCACGAGCACCACCACCACCACGAACACCACCACCACCACCACTACCACCACCACCACCCATCCTAGCGTGCACCCCCTGGCCGGCTGCCCCGACCAGGTGCCCAGCTCCAGGTCTCTGGCGTGGGCGTCTGAGGTGGCACCAGTGAACACTGCGGAGAAGGCCCTTCCTCTGCTCTCCTTTCCTCCATGCTCTCGGTGGACGACATGTTGAACACATTTGATGCCACTGACGTTTCACAGTTATGAAGTGATCCTGTGTAACCTATAAAACCACATGTAAGCACAGACGAGTACAATTGTATCTTTCATTTATGATTCCGAAGTGAGCCCTCCTGGCCTGGAAGGGACTTGGTTCAAGTGACTTCCGAGTTTTCCTCAAGGAAACGCCTCCTACTCCACGTGCCTTGGACTGAGATGTGCAGAGTGGCGAGGCCTTGATGTTACGGAGCCAGCAGTGAATGTACAGCGTCACAGCCCTTGTGTATTACTCATCCAGGTTCTGGGGAGTGACCGTTCCTCGGTGCGCTGCATGTGCGGTGCTGAGTTCTGCTCCACCACACTGAGTACAGCTCACAACAGTTGGGCAGCCATGAGGGTGCTGTGAAGTGCTCCCCAAACAGTAGTCAATAAATTCTGGAAGTGAGGCCATGAGCGCAAAGGGAGAGCACAGGTGGGCTGGTGCCGGCACCATCATCTTAAGTGGACGCAGACATGGACAGCAAGGCCAGGGGGTGGTAGTTTCTCACACGCTCAGTCTGCTGGACAGGAGGCGGGATGTGTGTCCTCTGGGCTCACACACAGAGCATCTTAGTGCTTGTGGCAGTTTCTGTGATGTCTGCTAGCAGAAAAAACGGTGGGATCCCCCTTGGGAAAGGGGCAGTGATGGTGTCTGAGGGCCACAGAACCCTGGCTGGCAGCGGCCCCCGTGGCAGGCGGGGCTGCTCCTCCCTCCACCGCAGGTGAGCAAGTGGACTTTCTGGCAGCTTGAGAGTCTGGGCAGGTGGTTTTGCATTCGCCTTCACGGAACTGTTTCTAAGAATTGAGCAAATTGGTGGTCGCCTTGTAATTGAGGTGTTTTCCCCCAGGCATAATAAAAATGCGCATTTTGTAATATGTCATACCATTTTTAAATGAGCCTTTTATTTTTTTTAAGATTTTATTTTTTTGTTTTTAGAGAGAGGGGAAGGGAGGGAGAGAAATACCAGTATGATCTGTTGCCTCTCACATACCTTCAACTGGAGACCTGACCTGCAACCCAGGCATGTGTCCTACCCAGGAATTGAACCGGTGACCTTTTGGTTCGCAGGCTGGTGCCCAATCCACTGAACTACACCAGCCAAGGCCAAAGTGAGCTTTTTAAATAGGTATGGTCAATCCATCTGCATTGGCCTGTGGGGGCTCATGCTGCACAGAGTGTGTATCTGTTTATACAGATGTTTATGGAAGGAAAATTAATACCCAACTCCAGACATAATTTTTTCCCTCCACTTTACTACTACAAAAAACAAAACCTAAGTCCCAAATTGGGTTTATGCTAATCAGACACTTCAGGCCACTGGCTGGGGCAGCACGGACCCGGGTTTCGCAGAGATGCTGGGCTCTCGGTGATGAGACTGCGGAGGAGCTGATGCGTTATTTGCAACTGTCTCCTCCCTTTTGCCGTCATGTCCCTGTCTGGCCACTGTAAAGCTTCTTCAGACTTCTGAGTCCCTGGTGTCTGTGAGCCAAGGCCATGGGTGAGGGAGAACTGGGGGTTCTCAGGGTCCCTGGGGCGGGAGCACTCGCATCTCAGTCCCAGGTATTTCGGATCCTCAGCCCTCAGCCAGTGTCTGGATGCTCCACTCATGTGCATCCTGCACGGTGACACCGTCAGCACTGGGGTCTTTACAGAAACGCCTGTCCTCTGACCTGGGTCCACGCTGCAGTGAGTGGAGCTGTTGCACCTGGTCCCACATTTGAGAACCTCATTTAATGAACTCCAGCAGCCCCCTGCGGCCCTGCCACAGCTCTCTGTAGGCGTTTAGCAGACTGGCTAGCAGGAAGGTGGGCTGGGGCCTGAACGCTAGCCTCCGACGCTAGACCCTGGTTTTAAAAACTGGATGTTGAGTGTGTCTGCTGCTTGTGAACCCACGCAGCAGAGAACATATCATCCAGGCAGAAATAACCACCACCTGGCCCACCTGCACAAGTCCATCTCACCAGTTCCCACGGGCAGTGGCGACCTCTGGTGGGCAGGGATCACACGCCTCGTCTGCTCACGTTGTGAGTGCACCTTGTGACTTTCGAAATGAAGACAGCACCTGGCACATGAGTAAAGCTTGTGCAGATGTTCCCACATGTTAAGTTCCTAGGCAGACAACACAGAGACGAAACTTCCAGGGACACTGCCCGAATAACCGTGCTGGAATCCAGTGGGCAGTCATGTGTGTTCGGCACTCCCTTTTCTGAAGCAGTCCTGGCTTGTGGTGACAGATGTGAACGCTGTCCCAAGACCTCCTGGTCTCCCATCTCCTGCACCTTCATCTGCCTCTCACCTAGGGAATGAGGTTAGTGAAGAAAAGCCAAGAGACAGACAAGCCAGAGCTGCCCTCTGGTCTCCTGAGCACCTGACCAAGTCCCAGTGAAAACAGGGTTTGAGGAGGTGTAGCCGAGGCCCCGGCAATGTTGGACTGGGGAGGCCCGGGGCCAGAGTGGACAGGCTGTGCTGGCCAGGCCCCAGAGGCCTGCATGCAGGAGCAGAGGGGCGGGTGGCCCTGAGTGGGGCCCAGAGACCAACAGCACCCAGGGTCCACATCCCAGGTGGGGCTGCCCCAGGGAAAGCAGCTCTCAGAGTGGAAGGGGCCTCCTTGGAGGGTGACACAGGTGGCAGCACCCAGTTGGGTCAGGTGCTGGCAGCTCACTCAGCAAGGAGGTACCTGCCCATTGGGCCAAGTGCAGGAGAAGCCTCAGAAGGGGTTATGCCTTCTTCCAGGGTGCTCGCGGGCACTGTGGGCTGTGGCTGACACATACCGCAGTTCCGTCGTATCTTGGCAGTTTGAGTTTGTCTTTCACACCAACTTAGAGCTCTGGTGTCTCGTGCATCTGTAACCCTTTCCAGGGCTGTCCAGTGGTGAAGGTGCCACACTGAGTCTGAGGCCCAGAGGACCCTGTGCTGTGCCAAACCTGCTGTGTGGGTGCCCATGGATGTGTGGTCATGGCCCTGGGACCTTTCCACATCTTCCCTCAAGTCTCCTCCAGTTCCCCAAGCAGCCTGACCCACCCAGTCCCGTGGCACCCTCACTTCTGCCCCAAAGGCCAGGCCCTTGTACTCCAGGTTGTGGGTATGAGGTCCTGTGTCCAACTGCCCCCAAGGTCCCCAGGAAGTACGGCAGACGGTTCACACATCTCACTCACTGCATGGCATTGTTTCCTGCACACTCTCAGATTGCGAGCTTCACCACGAACACTTCAAACCGTCTTTGCCCCTAAAGGAACCCCGTGCCCACTCAGTCACTAACTCACCACAGTCCACGTTCTGTCCCACTATCCAGCAGTTCATGTGAGTGGAATCACACGGGACCTGTGGCTGGCTTCTTTCACACAGCCCATCCCTAGGGTGGGACGTTAGAACGTCATTCCTTTCAACAACTGAGTTTTATTCCAGTGAACGTGTCTACGTTTTCAGTCACCATCAGTGGATGGGTGTCTGGGCTGTTCCCACAGTTCAGCTGGTATGACCAGTGCTGCTGTGAACACGGGCCTGCCAGTTCACGCAGACAGATGTTCCTCTGGACTGTGCACCTGAGAGTGGCACGGCTGGGTCACATGGTGACTCTGTTTAACAGTTCTAGGAGCTTTTAGAGGAGCTTCAACTGTTTCAACAGTAACCACCCCTCTACCTCTTCGCACAGTGCAGGAGTCCCCTCTGTGCGGGTGTGGTCTTGCTGTAAGCCTGTGTGTCACAAGGGGTCCCTTCTAAACACAGGTTTCATTTGCTGATTCCATCCTGAAATTACATGTTGAGCAATTCCAGCAAACTCCTCCGAAAGAAGGGAGGCATGGGGGCACTTTGTGCAATTGTCTAATTTTTATGCTGAACGAGACATGAGATTCTTCAACATAGATTTCATTGAATTTTATTCTTCTACTAACAAAAATCATACAAAGACAAGGAAGCTGTAAAAGGAAAACAAAATTCACTTGTACTGACTGCTGTTACAGATATACAAAGCTCAGTGCAGAGGCTACGTGGTGCTGAGGCTGCAGACAGGCAGGTGGGGCAGACACACGGATGCTCACCACACATCCATGAGTGAGGCGGGTTTCACTTAACTCAGTGTTGAACCAGGATCAGCAAAAGTCTGCACACCCTACCCCCAGCCCTGCTGTGGCTATTTGGCACATGCTCTAGCCAGTGGTCCTTCTGATGGCAACGCAGGCCCCCTAGGCTGCCCGATGGCTCCTCAGAAATGTCTGGAAATGCATGCTTAGCCTTTACCCTAACATGGAATCCGCAGCCCAGGCCAATTCCCTTGGGAGCGAATGGAAGTGTGAGAAAGCCAGGGCCTGGTCCTTTGGGCCTGTTTCTTAGACACAATCTCTTTGTGGACGATTGGCATCGAAACGCCCAGGTGTTTAAACAAATAAATAAGCCACACAGAAAGTGAGGCACAAACTACTGCAGCACCTACTACAGTGAGCGTGATCATGACCACAAGCAGAAAGACCACAAGGTAAAGTGCAAAGTCTACAGATCACTGAAAGGTACTGCGCCAGTGCCCCGAACGCAGCTGTCGTCATCCCCTCCTGCAGGGCAGGGGCACAGGCTCCGGCCAACGCCTCAGTGCATGTGCCCCTCCCACCCCAGGTCTCCCACGGCTGCGGCCTGGCGCCCCACCCCAGGGTGTGAGGTGTGGACGTGGAGGTCAAAGGAGTGAGTGCACATCAGAAGCTGAACTGTGTGGTGTGCTTATGGACCTGAAGGTGTGAGCTCTCGACATGCACCGTTTCTGTGTATCAGAAACAAGGTGCCCGCTGGGCTGGGCCCGCCAGTGCTTATGAAAAGTCTGTGGAGTGCCCTGGGAACTCAGAGGGCTCCTCCACTGGGGGGTCTTTCCCTCAAGAGCTTCCTGGAGCACAAACCCAGCTAGATGACCACTCTGTGCTCCCCAACAACTAGGTTCCCTTACCAGACGTCCCCAACAAGACAGGGTACCTGACTGAGGCCAAGCGGCTGAGCCTGGGGATGTGGGCGTGGTCAACTGGCCTCCCTGCATGTATGGAAACACAAACTCGGATATTCAAAGGACAGAGAGATGGGGGACTAATGAACACATACTGAGCTCTTAGCCATAGGCTGACCTTTCGCCATTATAAATGCACAGCCCAAAGGTGAACCCTCAGTCCAAATGTGGCTTCTTGTGAATGTCCTGGGTGGGGAAGAACTGCAATGTGACTGCCACAACAGACCCGGCAGGTGCAGGCAAGGAGATTAATTCCAGAATCCAGAGGCAGAGCACAGAGCCCCACGGGAGGGCCAGCTGCATCCCAGACACTCTGAGCCTCCCTCAGGAGCACGTGGAGCACCCAGGGCATGTCATCTCCTCGACTCGAGGAGAACTTTCAGTCTTGCGCTGTCTCTCAGCCTGGACAGGAGAGCCCAGTGGTGTTCTAGAAACTTCCGTAGGAAGCCACAATGGCAGATCAGGCCACTGGCCTGTGTGTACAGCACCTTCCCGGGTCTGCCCAGCATGCTTCCAGAGTGGCCAGACATTAGGAGTAGATGGTGATCACCTCTCGGCCACTGCCCCTGACCAGCAGGACCCTGTTCAGCCCCTCGGTCAGGACCTCAAGGAACTCCATATCTGGGGTGGGCTGAGTTAAGGCCACAGCCAGTCCCACGGCACACGAAGTGTAAAACGTGGAGAGAGTGGTCCTGTGTCATTAGGAATCAGTTTGAGAAAGAAGGTGAGGGCTAAGTCAGGGAAAGCCAGACCCCAGGTCCCTGAGGTGAGGATGAGAAAGGGGGCAGGGGAAGGGTCCCAGGAATACAACCAGAGGCGCTGACCCCACCCAACAAGAGGCCTCCAGGCAACGCAGGTGGCCGAGAACCCACAGCAGGGGTGTCAGACTCACGTTCACCGGGGGCCACGTCAGCCTCACGGATGCCTTCCAAGGGCCAGACGTAATGTTAGGACTGTGTATACGGAACTGCTCCCTAACAGTTCAGTGAGAGCTTGGTGCTGCCGCTGGGTAGAAACAAGGTGCTGGGCCCGATAAAATAAAGTGGAGGGCCGCATTCGGCCCACAGCCTTGTGTTTGCCACCTGTGACCTAGAGAAAACCCCTGCCCTCACCTGGGGCTCTGCCACCAGGAGGGATGTACCTGACTGATATGTCCACTGTCCACTAAGACACCCAAATAGGCCGGGATGTCATGGTAACTAAACATGAATTCCTAACTTGTGGTCAGCTTGAGACTGAAATCGAAGAGCCAAGCTGCTGACCTCTCCTGCCAACCCCACCCATGCCCCCAGAGGATAGTAGGGGCTGAACCCCGGGGGACAGTCCCCAGGCCACAGACCTTTAGCAGTCTGGAGCCCGTGTGAGGACCTGTCCCTTACATCATGTGGCAGCTGACACACATTTAGAGACTAACAGCACAGTTTGGGGTAGGGCTAATACATGACCTTTGAGGTCACGGACTGCATTAATGCGTGGGACACCCTGAGCAACCAGGAGGGACTGGGGAGCCCATGTGGGGACAGAGGGCTCAATAGGCAGAAGGGTGTTTAAAGGGCAGTGAGGTGCCAAGAGCACTCAGAGCTGAGCCTTGGCAGAGGCCTGTGGACCCATCACTGCAGGTCGGGTCATCCTAGAGATGGAGTCACACACGATTGCCCACAGGTCCCAGGGAAACACCAGGAGAGCCAGCTGGGGGGCGCTCAGAGCCCCCATCACCTGCCCCTGCCCCAGGGCTTGAGCCCAGGAAAGGATACAGTTCTCGTCCCCCTGCCGGTTTCTAGGGGGCCCGGGCATGTTCAGCAAGACCAGCTGGGCATCCTGGGACTTATTCAGGACGACACCATTGAGCTTCACAGCCGTGTGCATCCTCCGGACATTGGACTGGTTCCTGCAAAGGGGGGACGGTCACTCTGTGCCCCAGCCTGGGACACTGGGCACCAGGCCGGGTCAGAGGCCCGACCGGCCCTACTTCACCCTGGTTAGAAAGGGCCGAGTAGAAATGAATCGATTCAAGTGGATTCACAGTCCCAAAAGCTCCACGGGAGGTGATTCCACAGGAGAATCGTGCTGGGAATTAGGGAACAGGGGTGGGGGTACTGAGCAACCAGAGCGCTTTGGCCTCCAAACGCTTTGGGCTGAGAATCACTAAAGCTGCCGAGCTTCTAGTTCATAAGCGGTTGTCCACACAGGCGGAAGCGAATGCTTTGGGGGCGAGCTTGCTCTCTGGGCCCAGAAAGGCACTTACACACCCAGGGGCTCCGAACTGTTTCCCACTGGAATCCCTGGACTTGTGGCCAAACCTTGCTTTAAACACGACCCTGTGGCGAGTCTGCTAAACTATACACATGGCAACCTCTTGCTCACAGGCGGGGTGGGGCCCACGAAGCCCAGAAGTGGTGGGGAAGGGACCAGGCCCCTGCACCTGGCTTCCACCCCTACTGCAGTCTTAAGTCCTGTAACAAAGCCTTAGACCCTGGCTGAGGATGCGGCTACCATGAAGGTCCATCCAGCCCTCAGCCTCCCAGACGCTGCTCTCCTGCTAAAGGAGAGCTTCCAATGCTCAGTGACCCAGACCCTGTGTCCCAAGTCCTCACGGACTACCCAGTTCTCCACACTCCAAGTAGACAGAGGGTCCACTGTGCTTTGACACTTCCCAGGTCCAGCAGTGGCCCCCAGGAGAGGGTCCCCAGCTAAGTAAGACTAGGGAGACTGCAGACCCATACCCACTGGCACACCCAGGCACTCAGGCAACCCCACAGGACCCCGAGGACCCCCGGCCAGGTGACCGTGGGGCCTCTCTCCCTAGGGAACTGGGCTCCAGGAAGCACTCAGGAGTAGCCGTCCTGGGAGCTCCGCTTGCCTCAAAGCATTTGCATCTTCCTGTGCTGGACAATTCTGAGGTCACACACAGGGAATCTATGGCCGGCCTCAGAAATGCAGCCTGGGCAGGCCGGCTGCAGCCCTTCTACGAGGTCACAGTGCCTCAGACACGAGAGGGACGGGTGGACAGACAGGGGCCGCACACGAGGGGTCAGGAAAAGGCCTGCAGGACGAACGCCCAGGCCGCACCCTTTGATCAACTCAACCCTTCAGCCAAATAAACCCAATCACAACCACCAATTATTACCAGGAGGAAGACGGGAACACAGACCCTTCATTTCCTCCCTCCCACTCCGACTGATCAAATTAGAGATCGGGTCTCTGTCCGTGGCACGGCCGGGACCTCGCATCGCAACAACCATGAATTAGGTGCCTGGAGAGGCCAAAATTACCAGTGTGTGTGGGGATGGCAGCGATTCTAGAAATGCGTGTGTGAGATATTACAGTATCTCTCAGGGTTAAGAGTTGGAAAACACATATAATCTTAAAATCAGCGTGGCTCCAGGCCGACGCGCCCCCGCTGGGGGGCCAGAGGCAGGGACGAGGACCGCGCGCCTCTGCCCCCTCCCGGCAGCCTGCCCTGGAGTCCACGAGCCGGAAGTGTGTCAGAAACACGCCGACTGCCAGAGGAGAGGACTCTCACCACAGGGTTTCCGAGGCTGGGAGGCAGGGTCTGGGGTGGAGGGTACCAGGGGCAGCAAGTCGAAAAGGGAGATGCTGGTTCCTGGAGGGAACACGGGGAGGGGCGCTAGCAAACACTGAAAAAAGACACGCACGATGCACCCCGGAGGGCCTGCGAACCATCGCAAAGTGCGTGTGCCCTGGGATATCACAGTAAAGCACGCACACGGCAGGTATAAGCTGACCTCCCGCCTTCCAGAAGCTTCTCCCAGCCTAACCCTGAGGAAGACCGGGAGCAATGTCCACCTGCATGCTTAGTTCTGTCCACAAAATGGCCTCTTCCTGGTTCGCTTTCTTCTGAGTCCCCAGGCCTGCAGGGGTCCGCTCTGACCCTGCTCGGTGCAGGCGGCAGGGTTTGGGTGCGTGGAGCCCCTGACCTGAGCCCAAGTGTGCCACGTGGGCACAGGAATCTCCGCAGGCCCATGGTTCAGTGGTGGTTCAGGGAGAAACCCCACCCTGTCTGTGTCCACGTGCTTGTGTTTTTTAATTTGTAGACTTTATGGGGGGGGGGTAAATTTACAGAAAAACACAGCAGGAAGCGCAGCCTCCCTGACATGCCCACGTGGCAGGGTCTGCTCCCTCGGTGGACCAACGCTGTCATGGAATTAACTCAGGTCTGCAGCCAAGAAAGCAAGTGTAGCCACCTAGTCCCCAGAGTTCCACTGTGGACACTGTCTCAGGCTGCACCAGCCCAGGAGAAAACAGCCCAAAGTTCCTGGAGCAGCCGGGCAGGAGGAGGGGGAATGACAGAGAGGGATGGACAGATGGACCAACAGCAGCATCAGGGAGCGCCCCCTCCCACCCAGCCAGCCGGCCCTGGACCCCTGGCCATGGAACTGAGCTGTGGTCTGACCATGCAGAAAGTTCATCCACATCCACAGCACGTGGCCATTAAAGGACAGCAGCGTCTATGGGCTGAAAGGTGTCTGGTGTGGGGAACACAGCCAATTCCGTCCCCACAGAACTGAGGTTTTATATCTGTCGCCTTGATCCAGGGATGTGGATGAACCAACTAACAGCTGCCGAGACGCATGCTTCTGGTTGTGCGGAGCTGGCTCAGGACCAACCCACCCAGATCTCAAGTTCCTCCGTGATATTTAGAGAATGGATCTCAGGAATGTGCCGTGAGCCGCTCTAAACGGAGAGGAGCAAATTCGACAGGAAATTACTGAAAGCTACGGCAGCGACGAGCAAGCTCTGCCTGCACACGGACACGCACGCACGCACACATGGGGACACATGCACACACGGCCAAGCACACAGTTTACGAGGGGTGCATGGGCGGGCATGCGAGGCACACAGGCTAGCAAGTGTCCTAAACCGAGCGAGTGACTTACAGGTTTCCCCATTCTCTACATGGAAGAGAAAATACAGAGAACATGTTACTTCAGCAGTGATCGTGGCACACACTGTTAAACAACTGTGGGCTCACCCCAGGCTGCCCTTTCCTGGCCTACCTCGGTCTTTCTCTGCAAGGGGTTCTCAACCCCACCGGCACCAGAAAGCCTCCAGGCCCCTCCTGACAACCCGGGCTTTAGGGTCTTAGCCCACCGCTGAAGAACCCAGGGAGAAGCTGCACTGCTCTCCCATCCTGGGACCCTGGGACTGTGTAACTGTGACTCTAACCCAGACCCCTCCCCTGGGAGCCCGCCACACGTGCCCTCCATGGGCACCCGACAGGCAGCCTGCATCATCAGCGGGGTCCGAGCTGGAGTCCTCATCCATCCAGAAGCCCTAATTTCAAGCTGCTGTGTGACCCACCAAGAACAGAGACCAGGCCACTGCCTGGGCCCCGGCCAGCCGGCCTGAGAGAACGCTGTGGCCCTTGGGCTGGTTCCCTGCCCTCCAGGCCTGAAGCTGCAGCTGTGTGCTTGCTGCCCTGTCACAGGCAGCGAAGGGAGTTGGGACCTGCCACCCCCGTCACCAGGTTGACACTCACGGCTTCAGGCTAAAGAGGTCTTTGAACCCGGACACGCTGTTATCTTTGTTCTTATACTTCTCAGCGATCAGCTTCTCCTTCGTCCAGGTCATCTGCACCTTGTCCGGTGTGGGCGGGGCTTGGGCCCTGGCAGCCACCGCAGAGTGGGAGGCAGTGTTCCTGTCGTGAATCAGCTGGGCCTGGCGGGAGGGCAGGCAGCACAAGACTCACTGCAGCAGGTCTCCAACCTCCTCGGCAAGAGGCAAGCACGGGAGGGAAAGGCTGCTGGCCCACGGAACCGAGAGGGTTTTGTGATCCACGGAACCCAGGGACCCCCGGATGGCCTCCCAGCTGAGGCCCCAGCATTGCCCCCACTCCCACCAGTCTCTCCTCTTCCTGGGCTTCCAGACCAAATTCATCACTTCCTTCTCTGGCTCCAGCTCTGAAAGCCACTGAGAAAGAACCCAGGACTCCATATTGACACAAGTGCTCACATCCGAAAAGTCCCTGCTCCACATGCTATCTCTGCTTCCCAACCCACTCATCCATCCGTTCACTCACTAACTAATCCATCACCTCATTTATCTATTCATTCATCTCCTCACCCATCCATCCTTCCTTCCTTGGATTCACGCATTCACCCCCTTGCTCATCACCTTTTCTATCGTTTATTCATCCCCTCATCCATCCACTCTTCCTCATTCATTCATTCATTCATTCATTCATCCCCTATTCATTTGCCCACTCACCCACTCATTCAATCATCTATCCTTTCATCCTTCAACAGCACAAGGGCTGCCCGGAAGCTATGCTTTGGGATGGGTATTAAGTGACATGGAGTTTGAGGATGGGTGTGGTGTGGGAGGAGGCAGCTATAGCGTTTCACGAAGTACCCCAGGAAGCCTGCATGCAGAGGTGCTGATGAATGGCCCGAGGGAAATGGGGGAGGCCTGTGGGGATGAGGTGGGCTCAGGGCACGAGCCAGCATCAATGAGAAACTGGAGGGGCCTGAATGAAGGTTACTCAGGCAGTGGCAGGACTGTGTGAGGCAGGCATGGAGCCTGGGGGGGGATTAACAAGTTGGCTCGTAAGGACTCACTGTGGTTGCTGGTTTGAGGCTGAAAGGGACAGAAGGGTGACCAATTAGGGCACCATGGTGGTTTGAGCAGATGATGCAAGAGAGGAGGGGGCTGTGGGTGGCTGGGATAGCTCTCGACAGACTGTGTACGGGAGACCAGGGGTGATACAGTCCTGGAACCTGTCCTGGGTGTGGTCCAGAGGGCCAGTGGGGCTGTGTGGCCTTGACCCATGTGGGGAGAGGAGGTAGAGGTAGAAGTCAAGCCACCCGGTCATTCACAAACCCAGGGATAGAGATGACCAGCTCAAAGTGACCCCCCAAAGCCTAGTCCCGACAGCTCTGTGGGGTCTGCAGAAGCACAGAGTCCCACACTACACCATCGCCCGTGTGACTGACCGCCTCTAACTGGAGGCTGTCCGGGGCCAGCACATACCTCCCTCTCCCGCTCCGTCTTGGACAGCTGCATCTGCTTCAGCATTTGGCTCCTCTGCTCCATGACCAGCGTCTTCTCATAGGTGAATGCAGAGATGTCGTTCTCCACCTAGAACGTCCCAGGACATACAAGTAACTCAATGTGTACAGAACATGATGTCTTCGCCACAAGATCACTGGCTTCGCTCGGTGTCTGAGCTGCTGCCGGAACAGGCTGCTCGGCCCTTCCCTCTTGGTCTCACCCTCTGCGGGCTACATGTGTAACAGGCCCACCGACCACAGAGCCTGGTCCTTTCCTGACACTGGCCCATCCTTTAGTGCGTGATGCTGGGTCCTCCCAGTCCCTGGGGGTGCACCACGCCCCCAGCCCGGGGAGAGCTGCCCCTGGGACCTCCGTGGAGCTCTGTGCCCCTGGCCCCAGGGCTCTGTGAGCTGGATGTCACTCCCTGACACTTTCTCATAAGTCACTGTGTGGGGAAATTAATTCTTATGTTATCGGTCCACTCTACTAAATTCTTACTGAATAAAATGTTTATTTTCTTGATTGTCTCCAGGTATTTAAATCATTCTCTGCAGAATAAAAAGCACCCTCATTTCTATTACTTAAGGCTGCAAACGTTGGCACCCAGGAGGCAAGGCCCCTGCAGACAGACGGCCAGCTGAACCAACTGCCGGAGGCACTAACCCTTGGTACTCACAGCAAGCTGGTTTGGGCTTGGGTGCTCTTTGAGTACATTAGCTAAATGTCCGTGATGCTCCTCCCTGACACCCTTAATAAAACCTACTTATTTTTTAAAAAGTCTTAACGAAAGCCCTAAGCTCTTTTGTGCTGACGCTTCATGGTTCATGGTCCCGACTCTGGTCTTTCTGAAGCTTGCTGGCCAGGAACACCACCTTCCTAGTTAGTGGCCCTGACTTGCAACTGTTCAGTTTTAGCCTCTGACCAGACTTCTCCTCCTTGTTCATTTACACACTCCCCTCAGGTCCATGGCCCTCAGGCCCCCCGTGGGTCCACTGCCTCCTGAGGACCCCAGAGCCCCAGGCTTGGCGGCTGCCAGCGACACCCCAGCGCTCGCTCTGTGAACAAGGCTCCCAATGCACAGTACTCCATGTGAGAGCAGTGTCTGGGGCCCTCTCTGTCCTGCAAAACTCTGGAGCGGGGAGGCTAAGCTGAGGAAGATGCCAGAAGCAGCCGAAGGGGAAGGAAAGACGGCACTAACTAGACATCAGGCATGGCCTCTTCCTTGCACAGGAGTGCTCAACCCTTCAACAGGTGGGTAGCAGGGTGGTCCCGGGCAGGAGCAGGGCTGTTCTCACTTTCAAAAAGGAAACCCAATTATATCCCTAAAAAATAGACACTGCCTACTTAAACCTAATTAGCGATCACAACTGAAATCAAGCAGAACTGTAGATTTTAACAATGTTATTGTTAACTAAATGGCACCAACTAACCCACCTGGAAAGCTGACGAGGACCAGGGGCTTTGAAAAAGAAGAATAACCACAATCACTCAGAACCACAACGCTGACAGCAGGCCTCTGTGCCCGCCTCAAATGGGGGCCAGCTCATCGGCTCTCAGTTCAGTTTGGCTTCAGGTGATTTGAAATGGGTGAGGTAGCTGATGAATGGTAACAGGAGGACGGGGGACGACAGCGAAGGGATACAGGAGCCACGTGGAACATGTCCCAGCAGCCGATGCTGGACGATGTGAGCAACAGAATGAACAGTGCTGAACACCCCAAAGGGGAAAGCAGTGGGAGCCCTGGACACAAATGCACCCGCGTGACGCACACAGAAGCACGACGCACGCGGAGGAGACCCTGACCGCTGAGCCCCCTCCCGGGGTCAGGGGACCTGGGGACCCACTTCCAGAGCAGAGTCTGGACTTTACAGAGTGGGCGCCGGCGGATGTGGCTGGACTGCAGGTCCTCACTACCTGTGACGGGTTGAATGTCACATTCCCCTCACAGGACACGCTGGGGAGGGCACACCACCTCTGGGGTCTTCCTCCCACAAACGAAATCCAGTCCAGTCATGAGAAAAACATCAGACAGATCTAATCTGGGGTACATTCTACAAAACACCTGGGCCCATCTAAATTGCCAAGGTTATAAATAAAAAACAGAAACTGTCACAGGAGGAGGGAGTGCAGCTCGGGGTCCTGAACAGAGATGGGCGCTGAGGAACGACAGCAGACAGACGCCGACAGCCTGGAGCACGGCGGGCAGCAATGCCCAGGGCCCGCCCTCAGTGTGCGGAGTCCGCACCAGGCCTGCAGGGACCCTGCTCCGCCCCATGCGCCCACAAATCCAGAACTATGCCGAACGTGAACAAGAAGCACAGCCGGCAGGCAGCCCGGCCCAGCTGCCCTTACCATCTCCACCACCTCCACCTCCGCGCTGATCCTGAGGTGGTACAGGAATGTCTGCAGGTCCTTCTTCATCTGGATGCTGTTGTCGTCCACCTGGGCCACCGTGAAGATGCGCATCCGGCACTTCCTCCACACCTGCGGGTGCACACAGGGCGGTTTCTGATGCTGCTGGCCGCCACTGCCCACCTCAGGGGACACAGGCCTCCCCGACCCCCCAAATCAAATGTCTCCCCAGTGCCGTCCCACGGTGTGACCCCAATGGCCCATGACCCCCATCCCCACCTTGTGCTGCCGCAGCAGGAAAGGCAGCAGCATGAGCAGGCCCCCGTCGTGCACGATCCACCACACGTCGATGTGGCCGTCGCTGAAGCGTTCCTGGTTTTGTGGAAACAGGTCCACGTTTTTGGCCACCAGCAGGGCCTGCTGTGCTGCCGTGGTGTCACGGACGGTGTCTGTGGAGAGGTGGCACACGGGTCAGCGGGACCTCAACAGAACTACACACTCCACGAACTTGCTGGGCACCAGCCAGCGCAGGAGGTGGCCACAGGGTCCCCGCAGAGCCCCGGCAGGGGCGGGCTCCAGAGGCCGTCCTCCGCGGCCCACAGCAGCTCCACAGCCAGCGCCGGGACGTGTGGGGCACAGCCCGGGCCCTCCCCAGGGACGGCCAAACTGGGGGCTTCATCGGGAGGAAGGGACAGGGCAGCTCAAGGCTTTCAAGTGGCCATTCACTTTTCAAATGTTTTCGAGTGAAAAGGCACAGTTTGGGGGCCCCACAGGTCAGCAGGGAGCACCTCTCGAGCCAGTGACCCCAACACCCACAGCCTGTGGGAGACGTTACCCACCAACAAAGTTCTTCCAGGAGAAGGGGTTGTCCTCCTCCTTCCAGGATTCGGGCCAGGCCATGAGCACTGTGTTGTGTTTCATGCCCCCAAGGCCAGCCGACTGGATCAGGTGGGACATGCCATCCCGCAGGTTGGAGGACACCACCAGCTGGCAGAAGCCTTTGGTCTTCTCGGCGCTCATCAGGGACCGGATGTTCTGGGGAGAGGTCAGGGGTCAGTGCTGCGGTGCCCACGGGACCGAGCAGGAGCAGCACTGCCAGCCCCGCCAACCCACCTCAGGGAGCCTGGGCAGTGCTGGGCACACTCCGCACAGACACCACTGCCACAGTGAAGGCCGGAGGCCTTGCGGGATTTCCTGTGTGTGTGTGCAGCCACATGTGTGCGGGAGAGTGGGGTGACGGACAGTGCTGTGCACACAACTCGACGTGGTTCCTTGTATGTTGTTGTGAAACTGCCTACTATTTCACAGGTTTGTTGACAACTTGACTAGAGCATGTCACGCCCCCCAGGGGTGGTCATCAGTTACGGCCACTGAAGGATACTCAGAAAGGGCTACAGTCACCCCCCTCGGCCCTTGCTGAGACCCCAGAGCCTCCAAGCAGGCAGACCCAGCAGCACAGGGACCGCAAACACGGGAGCAAACAGACTGAGCCGGGCCGTCATGAGGGCTCTAGAGGACCCTGCCCATCAGGAGGACGTTTCCAAGGTTGGAGCTAAACAGCCCTGGTCGCCGAGTCTGCGACCCTCCTGAGTATAACGGACACTGGCTGTCTCTCTAAAGCCTTGGGAGCATCACATGTTGGGGAGTGTCTCTTTAGCAGGTTTCTGTGCTGCAGGTTTCAAACTCAAAGGCCACTGTCTCTTCTGACGAGTGACAGCCTGACACACAACGCTGTGCCTGGGGCACTGAAATGGAAGACCTTCATGTGCAGCCCTGCACTCCTCACAGACCACCCTGGTCCCACCTCCGTCTTCCAGCCCCAGTCCGCCCCGCCCCACCTCCTCGGCCTGCTGGGCCTCCGTGTGCTTGTCCAGGTAGGTCCCCTCCAGCACAGAGCCCACGATGGTCAGGCCCTTGCCAGCCTTGAGCTGTGTGGTGAAGGACAGCAGGCGGGGGTGCTTCACACACTGCTCCGAGTCCAGGTTCAACATCACCAGCACCTGGGGCCTGTGTGGGGACAGCAGTTACCACAGCAACTCATTGCCACATGCTCACACGTGGCCAGGTAAGACAGGGCAGACAAATAAAACAGGTGAACAGATGGGAAAGGTGAACAGGTGGGACAGGTAAACAGGTGGAACCAGTGAATAGTCAGACGCCCCCTTACCCCATGACCCAGAGCCTGAGGCTCCCTGCTGAAAATCCCAGTAGGCACCTCCTGTCTCTGAATGTTAACACCTCCAGGCAGGTGCAGGATAGGGAGACCAAGAGCTTTCTGTGCAGATTAAATTCCTGTTCCGTAAGGGCCACCCTTGCCCCAACCCCCTCCCAGCTGTTGCATGCTAAAGCCCTCGGTCTGCAGCAGCAGCCCCACTAGGAAAGCTCGCCCATTCCCCACCCGGCACATTGCTGGAGCCCAGCATGGAGCCCAGCACTGCCCTCAGATGTCCGATCACACACAAGCTGATCACACCTGGGCTGACCTACCCTGGACCGAGGGAAGGCACTAGAAGCTTCCAAGACATTGTTTCCTAACGAGAAGGAACAGTTTCTCCCTGTAAGTCTGACTTTAGAAACAAGTGTTCCAAGGGCTCAAAGGGCAAGGGCAAGGGAAGGGGCAGGGGCAGGGCTTGGGGTGGGCTGCGGCACTCACCTCCAGTTCTTGGTGTGGGGCGGGCCATGTTCTACGCGCAGCAGGGCATAGCGGGCAGCATTCAGCGACAGCCCCCTGATGCCATCACCCCATTCCTTCTCGGCCCTGGGAAGAAGGGGAAACTGTGAGCCCCCCTCCACCTCTACAGCACATTCAGGAAGGTGCCTGCAGGGCAGCAGCCCAGTAATGACTTAGGACCCTCTTGGCACTTGTGTGATGGAGAGGGGGCCCCCAGGCCAGCCAAGAGTAGGGAGGGACAGGACACGGAAAGAGGACACCCTGGCTGGAAGTGGTAGTGGGGTAGGGGCAAGGTGGCCCTGACACCCTGTATGGGGCCTCAGAGTTGGGGCCAGCTGGGGGAAATGAAGGAGAAGCTGTGGCAGGGGCACCCAGACGGGCAGGCAGTGCCTCGGGCAGAGCTGGCTCCAAGGGGCTGGGCTTCACCAGCACGAGCAGTCGCAGCCCCCATACCTCCTTCCAAACCCCCCCGAGCACTGGGGTGGAACTTTAGGCAGCCCACCCAGCCCACCACCTGGCCAGAGAGGCCACACCTCACTTCTCTCCCTGCTGCCAGGGAGCCAGGGGGCTGGGGAAACACCCCAGTGAATAACCTTAGGCTCTGAGATGCAGTTAGTCTGAAGTGCTCTTGTCCACAGCTATATTTTTTTTGACAGTGTGGTTTCTGGAAATTTTGAAATCCATCATACATCAGTGCTGCCATTGGGTGGATTTTAGTTTCCACAAAAGCATACTTAAAAATCATGGCTTTTAGCCCGGGCTTGTGTGCGTGGCTCAGTGAATTGAGTGCTGACCTATGAACCAGCAGAAAGTTGCCAGTTCAATTCCTGGTTGGGACTCATGCTTGGATTGCAGGCCAGATTCCCAGATGGGGGCTTGCCAGAGGCAACCAGTCAACGTTTCTCTCTCACATCAATATTTCTCTCCCCCTCTGTCTCCCACCCTTTTGCTGTAAAAATAAATTTAAAAATAATTATGGCTTTTATACAGACACATAGGTAAACCTAATGCTGTGTCATAACATGGAATCGATTAAGAACAGCAGATGTGCCCTGACTGGTGTGACTTAGCGGGTTGAGCGTCATCCTGCCAACCAAAGGGTTACAGGTTCGATTCCCGGTCAGGGCACATGCCTGGGTTGCGGGCTAAGTCCCCAGTTAAGTATGTGTGAGAGGCAAACAATCAATGTTTCTCTCCCTCTCTTTCTCCCTACCCTACCCACTTAAAATAAATAAGTAAAATCTTAAAATAATATATCGTTACCTTAAAAAACCAAAAACAGCTCTCTACCTATTATGATGAGGGCTGCAGCAGAGACCCCGTCCAGGTCCCTGTGTGTCTGTCTGTCCCCAGGAGAGGGACCCCAGCCCACTGGCCCAAGGGGGTCCCGCACAGGACTTAGCTACAAACCCCAGGGAGGCCTCACACTGAGGGCCGGGGCCTGAGTGGCCGCAGTGGCCCCGGGGCCCAGAGCTCACCCGCGATACTCGATGTACTTGTAGATGCAGCCAGCGATGAGCATGGCGAACAGGGCGTAGTACCAGGAGCAGATGAACATCAGTGCCAGGCACAGGCTCATGCCCAGGAAGGACAGCGTCCTGGGGAAGGCTATGGTCACCCAGTGGCCGCAGGTGGGGACCAGAGTCCACGCCCCAGCCAACACCCTGACCCCAACACCTCACATGCCACCTGCCCCCGTGTCCCAATCTCGCATCTGAGCAGCTGCCCCCAAAACATTCCTGGTCCCTCAGGGAGAATCTTTCTTTCAGTTACTCCTAGAAAATGACGGGGTGCCTGGCAAAGTGCCTTCTCCACCCCGAGTTGGCTCCGAGGGCTGAAATGATCCCTGGACACCTGCTGGAGCCCCGGATCTTCAACTTCGCTGAACACCCACTGCTCCCCGAGGCACTCGGCACCCCGCTGGGCACAAAACACGGCACCTAATGCCCGGGGGACATGAGACGGAGCAGCCCTGGGGCCCATACTGATAATACGGTGTGCCACATGGCGGGGTCCCAGGTGACAAAGAAAGGCACGCCACCCTCAGCAGCCTGGCTAGGTGCTTCCACCAAGGACGACAACCAGGCCCCGCGGCCTCTGGGCCGCCGCAGCAGCTGGCCCTCCAGATGCGCCGTGAGTCTTCGCCCAGCAGTTGCCTTACCAGTGGTAGTATCTGAAGCGCGGGCGCCAGTTGGGGGTGCGCAGCAGGGTCTGCACAGCGCAGGCCAGGTTCACAAACATGTAGCACATGAGGAAGAACCTAGGGACCCGAGGGGCAGTGTGAGAGGGGCCTGGCCAGGTCCCACAGTGGTCTGCTCCATCCTGTGGGAGTCCCTGCCCACCAGTTCCTTGAGCCCCCTCGTCCCTGTCACCGTTCTTCCTGTGGGAGTCTCCCTGCTCCACTGTCCTCCCGTGGGGTCTCCTCGCCCCACCATCCATATCAGTGCCCTCCTTGGGGTCTCCATGCTCCCTCATACACATCACCATCCAACATCGAAACCGCCTGGGCCCCTGGGCCCGCCCCTGTGTGCTGTCCCCTGAGCATGTCCCCCTAGTGGTCCCAACGGGCGCTGCGCTCCACTCCTGGTCCACATACGCCCTTGCCTGCCCGTGCTCACATGGAAAGGATGGGGGCCACACTGTCCAGGGAAGCGATGAGGATGCCAGTCTCACAGATGAAGGCAGTGAGCAGCAGGGCCCATGTAGGCTCCCCATTGGCCTTCCCATGGCCGAACACCTGCGGGGAGAAAGGCACGTGGGCTGGAGGCCAGGGGCAGGCGGCCACGGGAACAGTGCCCTGAGCTGGTTGGTCCAACCCACAGGGTCTCAGCAATGCACGTACACAGAAGTGGACTTCCACATCGTGTGCCGCACTCTACCCAGTGGCCCGGAGGAAAACCTGACACCACGAACTCACAGGGCTGACAGCAGCTCACAGGGCCAGCAGGAGCTGCCAGGGACCGTCAGACCCACAATCCTGGCAGAGCAGTGACCAGGGTGAGGGCAACGCCCAGTGTGCTGGGCTGAGGGCTCTGAAAAGAATTCTGCAAGGATCTCACTGCAAGGTACCTGGACCTTCACCCCCAGCCACGTGGGGTGGCAGAACTTCCCCCAGAACCATGGTGGAGGGTCTGCCCCGTGCTCAGGGACATAGCCTGGAAATGCTTCCCACCCACTCCCCCTGGACAAGGGTCTGTTGAAGATACAGAAAGAAAAACACAGACATGGCAGAGCAGCCCCACTGGCCCGGTCTCCGGGGGGAGTCAAAGGGGCTCCCGGACACAAGGGCCACCCCCCATGCCACCACCCCAAATAGAAGGCCTGACCTCCTGACCATCACACATGGTCCAGCACGGCCCTGTGCCCTCACCACACCTGCCACCTCGTCTGTCCTGGGCGGACAGAAGCTGTGAAAGGTGGAGAACCCCAGTCTGCTGGGATTGGCTCCAGGGATAACAGTGAGAACGGCAGGTGCGGGGCCACAGCGACATTGAGGTCACCAGCGTGAACCCTGACCCAGTCTGACTGGGGTCCTTACAAGAAGAGAGCAGAATAGATGCACACAGAGGGATGGCCACGTGAGGACAAGGGGAAAAGAGGGCCATCTACGTCCCAAGGAGAAGCCTCAGGAGGAACCAGCCCCGTGACACCCTGACCCCGGACTTCCAGCCTCCAGCCCTCAGAGAGAATCAGCTTGTGTTGTTTAAGCCACAGAGTCCATGGCCTTTGTCATGGCAGCACCAGGGCACTAACACATCAACGGCTTCAAGTTCATTTTGAAAGCTTCAGCCCCAACTGGAGGAAGCAGGGGCTTCAGACACCACGACCCTCATCATCATCACAGGGGGACAGTCCCGGGGCACCGCATCCCACAGGACGATGACAGGACAGATGCCAACTCCACAGGAAGTGGAAGCTCCCAGTCACTCCTGTGAACTGCTCTGCCAGCCAGGTGGTAGGCGGCTGTCTCTATCCACTGCACCGTGCCCTCAGCCCAGTGACCGCCTGGGATGGGGGACTGCCAGGCTGGAGGTGGGGACACAGGTCCCACCATCTTTAACGTAAAGACTGTGCTCCAGGACGGAACCTCAGGGACGCTCCAGAGCTGTTGCTTCCCAAGGGCCCGCTCTCTCACGAGGGGGCCGTCAATACAGCCCTGCGCCTGCGGGCAGTGTGTTCACCTGGAGGAAGGGGATGATGCCGTCTCGGGCGATGGCCTGCAGCAGGCGCGGTGCCCCCGTCAGGCTCTGCAGGCCAGCGCCACAGGTGGAGAAGAAGGAGCCGATGACGATGACCCAGGGGGACGGCCAGGCTAGCATGCCGATGACCAGGTTCCCTTGTAGGGCCTCCCCAAACCTGTGGGAGGGGCAGGTCAGGTAGACTTTCAAAATGTGAGCTGAAGACTAAGCATCTTCCCAGCGTCTGAGTGAGCATGACGTTCTCACCCCAAGTAAACTCACGGGTCCTGCCCACAAGGGTCTTCACAGGAGCAAGGAAGCCACGGCCCAGCCCAGGGTCTGTGAGGCCACCGTCACCCCCACAAAAGTGATGGGCAGTGGCCACAGCCTCCCTGTCAGGGACCTGCAGGGGCCCTCATGACCTGAAGGGCTGATAAAACCCATGGCCACGAGAAAGCAGGGTTGGGGGTGAGAGCCTGGGGCGCAGGCCACACCTCCACAGAGAGGAGGGGCCAGCGAGGGTAACCACGGCCTCACCCAGGAACCCCTGCACCCCCAGCTCTGCCGGGTCTGAGATGACTCTATGGTCCGCCAGCTCCAGGCTGGAGAAGGTGAAGGTGGACGCACCAGACCAAACAGAACCTCTCCACAAAGGGGCCACAGGAGCTTACTGCTCCACACGCAGAGTGTGAAATCCCGAGTGATCTCAATTTCTGAAGTCATTCAAGAAAGCTGACTCTGACCCCAGAAGTTTCCAGAAGTTGCACATAAAAACCAACATACTTATCTCGTAAGATCACGCCTTCGATGCAGGCCCCGAAGAGCACGATGCAGGAGAGGTCTGAGGCTCGGGTCAAGGAAGCAGCGGACACCATGCGCCGGCAGCGGGGCCCTGGCCGCAGTTGGGTATGGCGCCACCGAGCCCCCACTCATTCTGGGTTCACTGCCTGTCCCGGTGACCCTCGGGGGCCTTGCTCAATGCCTAGTCCTGGCTCCACAGAATGGGCCTCAGGTCAGTGAGGCTCCTCTGGCCCCTCAAGGCCTGTGCCACAGCGTGGGAAAACTGACCAGTGCACGTGTGTGTGGTTACTACATGATACACACGCAGTCACTCGTCCCTAATGCATGTGATGAGTTACAGGTGGTACCATGGTTACTGTATGTAGTTCATGCACAATTTCACAGTCCATAACCCACTATGGACATGGTGCCCAGGTGCTGTGTCTTGTTTTCTCGCATCAGGCTGGCACCCGCCCAGGTCCTCCTCTTCAGGACAGGTGTTGCGGGCAGAACTCACCTGAAGCAGAGCAGCTCACTGAAAGCTGTCGATGGCACAGTGGTGACCCACACACAGTGGTGAGGGTGTCGGGGGCAGGCGCCCTCACACCCTGACAGGCTGATGGACAGCCCCTGCACCCGAGCCTCCCACACCTTGACCCCTTCAAGGATACAAATAAAAGATGTGGTCACAATGGCCAGGATAGTCCCTGTGGGGATTGACTTCTGGGCATCCCTGAGGTCCCCCGACCGGTTCGAGCCCGCCATGATGCCTGCGGAAACAGGCAGAGCTGCCCTGTTACCAGGAAACCTAGGAAACCCCATCCCCGCGGGCGAAGGCCTGTCCGAGGCAGAGGCAGGATGAACGCAGCCCGGGACCTCGGCTGCAACGTGCTGGAGAGATGCAAGCGTAGGAGACCACACCTGTGTGGGCCAATGTCCCCGGTCCGGGCCTCAGAGAGCACAGGCCAGATATCGCTGTGCAGCTGTGTGACAGCCGCTGCAGGGCGCATGGGGAGAGGCCCCAAATGTTCCCCCTACTCTGCACAGGAACAGCTGACCCTGCCATGAACTAAGTCACAGTCCAGACCAGAGGAAGGCTCAGCCCGGATGCTTGCCGGATGCTTGCCATGCTTCACACTCTCCACCCACCAGGCCCACTCGCCCAGAACATGTTCCACACTGACCAGATGGATACAGGACAGAGAGAGACCCCCAGGGACCACACCCCAACACTTGCCAAAGTGAGTCCGTGACCCCATCTCCCAGTCTTCCAGGGGAAACTGACAACAAGCACTTGCCAACCCCTCCCCCCCCAACTCCACTGCTTTAGGAAGAGCTGTGATGAATTAAGTGCACAGAGGCGGTGAGCGGCCCCTTGTAGCCCAGCCTTCCAGAGTGCAGACAGGCTTGAGGTGGGGGCCAGGGGGACCGATACACTGACAGCCGCAAGCTGCTAAGCTCCTCAGCCAGGCCACATTAGGTCAGGAGCAGCTGGGGGCTTGGGGCTCAAATTTTGCGGGGGGGGGGGGGGGGGGTAGGCTGAAGGGCGTCCCAGGGGGTGGTGGTCTCCAGCAGTGTGTGTGTGCACATGAAGCTGTGTGTATGCACACGTGTGTGCATGTACATGTCAATGTTGGGAGGACGGGGACTTGCATGCACTAAGGGTCCTCTTGCGTGTGCCCACATATGTGTGTGTCCACATGTGTGTGGGGGGTGAAGGGAGACAAGACTTTCTTACAGTAAGGGCCATCCCAGAAGGTCAACTGCCTCTTGTATGGACGAGGACGGCCGCAGTGCCTGGCCACTAACCATTCTCCATGTCCACTCCTGGGCGCCACCTAACAGTGCACCAGGTGTTCTGGGCAAGTCCACACTGCAGTCAAAAGTTACTTCTAACAACATGGGCCTCTCAGGAGAGCGTGGAACAAAGCTCCCTTAAACCACACGACCTCCTATGCTCCCCACTCAGAATAGGCGGGGAGCAGAACGCTCATTTTTTGAGCCAAACAGTAAAGAAAACTGGGGGGAGGAGGGAAGCATGGAGGGGAAGTGTGGCGGGGCGGGCAGAGACAGGGTGATTGTGCGACAGCGAGGGAGGGAGGCGGCGGCTCTGGAACGCCCGAGGCCTCACCGGTCACGGAGGGAAAGTAGATGCCAACCAGCATGGTGAAGTAGGTCACGATGTCGGTGAGGACGTAGGGCAGACCGCCGGGTCGGCTCTCCTCTGACACGGGCGCCGAGGGCGTGCCCTTCTTCTCCACGAACACCCCTTTGTCTGCGTAGGCACTCCACAGGTTATCTGTGGGAGAAACAGACAGGTAACAGGACTCCAGAACCTTCCATCAGCGCTCCCGCCACTGGGGAGACCCAGCAGAATTGCCCGGCATGCCCCAGTGCCACACAAGGACAAGGACATCAAACTCAAACACTGACCTCTGAGGAAACTGTTCATAATCACTGAGTGAAAGATTTCGGTCCTGCAGTCAAATTAGAAGGAAGGGCACCCCTGACAAGCACCTTAGGGCTCTGAGGGAAGGTTTCCAGGGAGGGAGTCCATCAGCGATCCCTTCTGGCAGGTCCCCTCACTCATGGAGGGTCCATACGGGGCAGTAGTGGCCCCACCCACACACACACACACACTCGAGGTGACAGTGGGGTCTGTCTCCTACCTGTGCAAATGCACCCCTGGGCAGATCCCAGACTGGCCAGGCTACAGCCTGCAGGCCCCCACCCTAGGAAGACCCTCCCTCCCCCCGAGACCCCCTACAGGGCCCTGCTGCAGAGCCCACCTCCTCAGGGCCCTCTTCCCCAGCATGAATCTGTTTCTCCCGCAGGAACGCCAGCGGGTTCCCCAACTTCTGCAGGTCGTCTCCACGCCTCACTCCCACTGCCCACCTATCCCTGCTCCCTCCAAACAGGGCACCCTGCCCCCTTCCCCCTCCCTGGGTGACCTGTGAATAGCTACCCCCTCTAAGGGCTTGCTCTGCCAAAACCCAGAAGAGGGGGGCGCTCACTATTCAGGGGCCTCTGGACATCAGGACCCCCATGCTGAGAATGTGTGCACACATGCAGCCCTGACCGTCTGCCCACACATCTCGACCCAGCCCAGCCCTGTCCTCTGCAATACCCACTGTCATCACAGCCTCAGAGGGACACACAATACCACCTCCGCCCGGGGCACACAGCTGGGGACCCAGCAACCACGGCCTCAGGAGGGTCCCTCTCCCTTTTCTGTAAAAGGTGAGGCCTCTCTGCTGGTGCAGTAGGAGAGTCAGCCCAATTTCTCATCACGGAAGAACTCACAGACAGGAAAAACCAGTCCCTACCAGTTAGCTTCTTCCCTCATCACCAGAGCTGCTATCAAGTCCTAGAGAAAAAGGATGGACTTGGAGTCCCTGAACCACTGTCTCCACAGCACGGCTGCCATCCATGGCCCTGGGGAGAACCAGCCGGAGCAGGGACCCTGGCAGGTCATCACTGGGAGAAGGTCAGCACACCCACGCACAGGGAGGCTTCCCAGGGACTGGGCTCTGGACAACTCGGCCCTGCCGAGATCTACTGGACACTCACCCAGGAGGACACCGCTGGCCACGCCGGGGATGCCCTGAATCTCTGTGAGGTTGTTCTGGGCAAAGTACTCATCGCAGGTGGCGCTGGGCGAGGAGCCGTTGCAGAAGAGGCCCCAGAGCGTGGTGGTCCCCGTGCCATTGTTGGTGGTGTGGACTTTGGCACAGATGTCAAAGCTGCGTCTCGATAACGTGCGGTTCCCCAGCAGACAGACCCTGGAGCAGGAGTGGGGGCGTAAGAAGACGTGAGACTCCGGTGTGAAATTACTTCCACCACTTTCTTCAGTCACCAGGTAGAGGTGTGCGTGGCCCCTGTCCATAGCTTCTAACACTCTCCATTTAGCCTGACCAGAACATCTGCATGAGCTGCTGGAAATCTGTGTCTGCGCAGGAGTTGAGTCTGGCAGTGCAGGGCTAAGGGACAGTCTCTTCTGCCACCCTGCTCTGGAGTGTCGGGCACAGGGATGAATGGGACTATTCCCACCCAGGTGGCTCCCTGCACATGGAGGCAGCAAAGCACAGGAGGGTGCTCCTGGCACAGGAGCCAGGAGGGTGCTCAGTGCCAGCTGCCTCCCAGCCCACCCCACTCCACCCCAGCCACTGGGTAACCTGATGCCTGAATGCCAGCCATTCCACCGGCCGCTTGCTTGCTCTGTGACCTAGGACCACTTCCTTGGGATTTAGTGTTCTCATTCAAAAGAAGGATAAGGAAAGAACCTACTCGAGGGTTTTCGTGAGGACTAGGGGAGTAGACAATCCCTGGGAGTAGCTCGGTGCTGCCTAACTGTCTTCAGGTCTGCCAGCCAACCAATATGCTCGGACCTTCCCCAAACCTCCTGTCCTGTGCTTGCAGATGGCTGGTCTGCAAGCGCATCCTGACTGCTCACCCTGATGCCGAGGAGAGAAGAGAAGACTGCCAGACACCTGGGGCCTTAGCTGAGATAAGGCGCCACCACCCTGGGGCCCTGCCATCATGGCCACAGATGGAACATGAATTACAAACTAGGAAACGTTATATCCTTACAGACCTGACCCAAGCAGAGGGACTGAGGATGAGACATCCCTGACGGAAGACTGGGACTCACGGGATGTCTGGCGGGTCAAAGGCAGACTTGATGACGCCAGCGTAGATGGCAAGGATGGACAGCACCACGCAGGCCAGGAACACCAGGGCTAGCTTGTTGACGTACTTGACACCCACAAAGACCACCATGGCCATGAGGGCCAGCGTGCACGTCCCATACACTCGCATGTTGTTCAGCAGGGCCATGGCCTCGTCGCCCTCCGACTTGGGGTGGATGATGGCTGCACCAGGGGAGATGTAGGTCTGTGGGGACACAGCAGGTCAGGAAGGGCAGCCTCTCCACCTCTGCCTGCAAGATGACCGCATGGGGAGAGGGAGGGGGCCAGACACCACCTCCTGAAGGGGCCCTTCTCTTGGTGGGGATTAGTGCTGGGTTCCTTCCTTCCCCGAGAGCCCCTGTACCACCAGAATGCATCTATAGGAAACTCTCTGGAACAAAAAAGCACAGGCAGCAAACAGTGATGGCTAGGGCACGATTCTGAGATGAAGCTTAGGGCCCTTCCCAGAGAGGCAGCATCGGAACACAAGACTACCCCAATTCTCCAGTTTGAAAAAAAAACAGTGCTTTTCTGCTGACAGGGTATCATCCCAGCTTGGAGATGTGTGTCAGCCCGATACAGGCCTCCCAGAACCACGCTGGGCCGGCACCAAGTGCAGGCTCGCCGACTGATGCTTGGTGCATCCTGCTGGAATGAGGGAGCATGGGACTGAGGCACCAGTGACTAAGTTCTGAGAAGTGGGTGGGATCAGGTACGGGACATGGCAAATGAGGACTTGGGGAGCACGTCACCCCATGGCCCACCATCAGGAACCTCAGTGTTTCTGGCAGTCACACCCTCAGCACTGGAATAGGAAGTCAGGACAAAGGGTGGGAGACACCAAAGAGCTCAACCTGAGGGGTCTAGCAAACCAGGAAAGCATGTGCACCTTAAGACACATAGAAAGACTGAGCATGAGTACTTCAATTTTAAGTTTTAAGGGAAAACCTTCAGTACAGGGACTCAGCATGTTCGCCAAATGACAGGGAACAACAGCTGAGCAGAAAGGCCTGATGGGAAGTGCTGCCCTTGGGGTCGGTGTCTGTGCATGGGAAAGCAGCCCCAAATAAAGCACTCACCAGGAAAATCTCAATGGTCCCCAAAATATACATGGCCCCTGCAAAGGTCGTTCCCAGGTAGAAGCAGAGGCCCACGGCCCCTCCGAACTCTGGCCCTAGGGACCTCGATATCATGTAATACGAGCCACCAGCTGCAAAAAAACACCAAACAGAAAACAGTGGGTTAACAACCCACCGTGTTCTGTGAAAGCAAACTTCACAGAACAGATGACCAGCTCAGGAAGCTATGACAAAACCTGGTCATGGTGACCATGGACACAAGCAGGGGACAGAGCCCATTAAGTCTGCACCTTCTGACATAAGACCAACACTTCCATTCTCTTCACTTCTGCCCCAAAAGGGCTGAGAACCCAGGGATGCTTAGGCATCGTGTCTGCATCACCCCCAAAGTGCAGTTGATAACTCCGCCCAACCATTCTGCCGGACAGCTGAGTTCACGCTCAAAGACCGACCAGGAGACCATGGCATGACTCTGGAATACCTGAAGAGCTTCTCAGTGTGCCCCTCTTTCTGAAAAGCAAACCTAAAAGCCAGTCTGCCAGTAGAATCATCTCTCCAAGAGAGCATGTGGAATCCCTCCTCCAGCACCGAGTTTCGGTACCACCTCCCAGCTGGGTGTCGAGTGAAGAGAGACTGGTTCCCACACCCACTCGGGTCAGACACACAAGGGGCCTCGCACTTCACCCACTCATGGCTAGTGGGGGACGATGGTCTCCACACCACTGCTGCTCCTTGTGAGGACTGGGCAGTTCTGGGGGAGGGGCAGCTGTACAAGGGCTTGGGGTGCAAAACAGGCTGGGCCTCACTTATACACGCACAAGCTGCAGGGGAACAAGGTGGCGTTATTTCAGTTCCTTGAATCCAGGTGGCAAATAAACTGGAGGCGTGTTGCCTGCACCTTTGCTCCTGAGCAACAATACAGCCTAAGGAACAAACTGGTCCGAGGTACCGCCTACCCACCCACCTGCCTTCCCTTCTCTGCCGAGCTCACCACACCCCAGGCACTGCCCTCTCAGTACCAGGATACTACTGCCAAACTGGGGAAAACAGGCAGCCATCATTTCAGGGCTCAGATGTCAAAGTGAACCCTGCAGGAAAGAGCCCAGAGCCCCCGCCCCCATCACCTGGGAAGCCCCTTCTGCACTTCTACCCCTAGGTCAGACAGCGCTCAGGCAACGGATTAAATTAAGCCTGCGGCACTCCAGTTTTGTCACTGTAAAAAGAGAATAATGGTTTGTGGGAAATTAAACTTCAGAATCAAAGGGACGCATCTGGTCAGAAAATACCAGCCTCTTGTCTAGACACCAAAGGCTTAATTAAGTTTGACATGAAAGAAACCTTGGGGGTGTTGATGCGGGTTCCCATTCTGAGGTGAATCCCAACTGCACAGCAGCCTCTGGGAGCCTAGCTGCAAGACAGGTCCCTACCCCGGTCTTAGCAAAGTCCCACGGCCCTTGGGGGAAACATGGCAAGAGGCCCCAGGACACCAGGGGCACCAGCCCTTGAGCTGCACGAAAATCACTGCCCAAAGGTGCGACCACTGCTGACAGAGCCCCTTCCAGGGTCTGGTCAGGCTGAGGACGTCCCCCTCCCCCTGACCCCTCTAGACCCCTCTAGACCCACCTGAACCCTCTAGAGACCCCCAGAGATCTCTGCTTGGATATGAATGATGGCAGCAACCTCCAGGTGAGTGAGGCACATCCACACGGGGCCACACCCCTGCCTCACCTGTGGCTGCCTTGGGTGAAGGGCTAATGTCAAGGTCACCATCAAAATAGAAGTGGAGTATGCACTGAATCCACGGCAGAGCTCAGCTCAGTTACTACCCACAAAAAAGAAGGCTTCACTTCAGAGGACCCCGTCCCCAGCAGCCCCTTACCTGGGACCACACCATTGGTGGCAATGGCACTCATCGAGATGGCAGTCAGCATCGTCTGCAAAGAGACAGGGACCCTTTTGGAACAGCACTTCTGGGGGCTGCTCTGGCACCGAGAGCACAGCACCAGGCCTGTCGAAGCTTCAACACTCAGGACTAGAGCCCCCGACCCCATCTTCTCTCCCACTTAACTCCCAAAACTGAGCTCCTACAGGCTGCCCAGAAAACACCAGACTCAGGACCGACTAGCACTGAAGGGCTGGCTTCTGCCTGGGTGCCCAGGCCCCGTGGGGTGTTTAGTGCCCACTTGCTCAGGAAACAGCCACACTGATGGGTTGGGGAGTAACTATTTTACAACCCAAGGACCAGAAGGAACAGCCTGGGAAGCGAAGGCCCCAGTGACCGTCGTGACCTGTTCCTGCCTGGCAGTGTCTGGGCCCAAACAAGGCCCCACCCCATTACCCTGCTTTCTATCCCCTTTTGTGTGTGTCTGGCACTACTCCAGATACTTCCTGACCCTTAAATGAAAGAAACACATTGTGACCCAGTGAGAATGTGGCAAGGCCCTTTAGATGACCTCACCGACGCTCCCCAAGGAAGGCCGGGTTCGGGAAGCCTAGCCGGTAGGGGAAGTGGCCTGAGGGGCCTGGGGGACTCATCTGCATTGTTTGAATTCTTTACACAGCTGTCTCCAGATGACACATGGTGACAGAATAGCTTAATCACCTTCTTAACAATAAAGGAAGCAAAAAAAATCATGGCCAGGAGGAGGCACTGAGGAGCACCCACAGGATAAACCAGACGCAACAAGAGACTGCAAAGAAGACTCTGCCTGCTGTTAACAGACAGGGACACAGGCGTGGAGGCCAAGTGCCAGGTTTGGTGTGGCAGGGTCTGGGGCTCAGCAAGTCACCAACACCCGTTCCTTTCTATAAATGAGGCCCCCAAAAATGTCCAGATAGGTGGAAGGGGACCTAATCAGAGTACAGGACCCCTGTGAGTGGCAATGGGGCCCAGTGAAAACCCTCGGGCACTGAGTTGCCCCCTGTACTTCTTCAGATGCAAGTAAATAAGACTCCCTGCAGCCAACAGACAGCTTGGTCATAGGCAGCTTGACCCCCAGGCCACACCCATCTTCCCCATGATTACACCAGCACCGGTGACAAGCTGCCCTGGGATAGAATCCACGTGGGCAACCTCAGAGCAAAGGGCAGCAGCGGACCCTGGAGAGCCTGCAGGTGTCCACCTGGTTGGGTCCCTAGAATCCAGTTATCGCCGCCCCGAAGGCAGAAACGCCACATCCCAGGACAGCCTTGCTCACTCACGCAGGTGCAACACATGAACACGATGAGGAAGGACTCCAGGACGCCGGCCACGCCCACAATCCACGTCAGGCGCAGGAAGAGGATCACACCAAGAATGTTCTGCAGGCAGGGCAGGTAGACGCCGATGAAGGTGCCCATGCCTGGGCTCTGAGAGAGACAGAACAGTGATTCTAGGGAGGTCACGCCTGTGTCCAGCAGACCTCAGCCCCTCTCCTCAGGGACCCACCTCCCTTGGGAGCCCCGGCTACACCCTCAAGCCCCAGGAAAAGGTCCCAGGGACAGGAGGACAAAGAAAGGAGCTGGCAAGGGCGGCAAGCTTCAGCTGCTTGGACCTGGACAAATGAAGGGGGACCAGCCCCAAAATGAAATGAGGCTCCAGGAGATACCAGAGCAGGACTCCAGCTGTGCTGGAGCAGGATGGCCTTCTGAGGGGGACCAAGACCACATCGTGGCCAGGAGCAGAGCAGGGAATAGCAGGAAGGTGGGAAAGTTTGGGAAAAGATGGGAGCAAGAGGCTAATGCAACGGTAATGCCAACTCCAGCTGGAATCAGCAGTGTCTCAGCCCCTGTGGAGGAGGTGATCAACGGCACCATGGAAGGCTCAGAGAACTGGCCACCTGGGTGCACAGAGCCCTTCGAGTCCATGAATGCAGATGCAGAGACGCACGGCTGGATATGGGGTAACTGCGGACGGGGCAGCGCCAGGGTGGTGCCTGCTGGAAACGTCTGCTGTGACCCTGGAAAGACTACGGGGTGAGCAGACCAGCTCAGAGGAAAAGGTGGCGACACAGCCAGGAGCCTACTGGCCAGCCCCACACACACCAGAGAGGACCGACAAGGCCCAGGGGCCCCAGCCCTCCCTGTCGGTGACGTGGGATGACAGCCAGTGTGACCACATTCAGGCAGCATACTTGGGATTTGGGGGCATCTGGCTGCAAAGGCAAGATGCTGTTTAATGAGGGAAATGTTTTGAATGTAGGTAAATTAAAAAAAAAAAAAGACCTGGACGGGTAGCTCAGCTAGTTAGAGCATCATCATAACACATCAAGGTTTCGGGTTTGATCTCTGGTCAGGGCACATGCAAGAATCGACCAATAAATTCCCGAATGGGTGGAACAGCAAGTTGGTATTTCTCTCTTTCTCCCTTCATTTCTCTCTCTAAAACTAATCATTAAAAAAATCCCAGAAACTTTCCTGAGTGACAAGGCTGGACTGAAAACAAGTCCCTAGTGTGGTGGCTCAGAGAAGGGCTACGGCCTGGGGTTCAGGGGGACACCGCCAGCCCCAGGGAGGTGGCCAGAGGGCAAACCCCCCACAGGAGAGCAAGCTAAATCCCCAGTAAAAAAGGAGATGGGCTTTTCAGGTGAGAATGGAAAGTAAACAGACAGGAACACCTGCCGCTGAGTACAGACAAGGCCCCAGAGCTCCCGCGGGTTCTAGGCCCTGGGGACAATGACCTAAGAGAGCAGCTGGGGAGCAGGGAGGCAGCTCCTTCAACGCCTGGCCCCGAGCTCCAGCTCCTGGCCAGCGCATCCCTCCCTGCACAAGCCCCGCCCACCCGAAGTATTCCTGTACCTTTGTGTAAATAAAAGTGGTTATGGGTCTTATACACATGGTGGGCGTGTCTCAGTTGTGTAAAAATGAGAAGGAATATGCCAAGTGACATGAAATATGCAAAGTGACAGCAATGCTGGGCAAACTGCCGGCGTCTATTTTATAATCTTTGTTTATAATCTTAGCTAACATATGAAGGGATTGATAAACTACCAGTGGGGGCTGAAGCAAACCCTCCGGTCAGAGTGGCTGGGACTCCAGGCCTCATGTGGGCCCCACCCGCCTGCCTGGAGCCAGTTCTGTGCCCAGCAGCTGCCATGGTCCCGAGTCACCCTGGAAGGGCACACCAGCCTTCCGTTCTCTCATAAAAGGCAGCTTTGAAGGATCCAACTGGCTCTGAGGCACTGGAGGCTCCCGGCCCCAGAGCTGTGAGGGGAACAAACACCCCAGCTCTGGGGACAAGCTCCTGTGCCTGGCTGGTCTGAGACAATAAAGGGCACCCCCACCTCCTGCCCCACAGGACCCCTAAACTCAGTCCTAAGCGGGGGGGAGGGGGGGTATGACTAGATTCATCCCAAATCTGCCCGCCTGGCTACACACAGTCCTGCCGAGGGTCATGGGGCAGCTGTCCTTCCTGTGACCGAAACCAGCCCTGTTCCAGGTCCTGACCTGGCAGTGAGTCCACACCATGCGCCTTGTTCAGACTGACCAGGCTGAACACCTAGGTTATAGCTCAACAGAAACCTTGATGTGGGGTCTGGGCTGCAAGGACCTCTGTGACCCACTGGGCTGCACCCCCCAGCCTGGAAGGCGTTCTGGCAGCAGGTGAGGCCTGGATGGTGCCACAGGCTAAAGCTGAGGATCAGTTCCAGGAAGCATCTGGACACAGGTCCCTAAGGGAAAGTGTCTACTTCCTGGAGCAGGCTGACAGCTCACTGGAACACAAGCGCCGGCAGACAGACAGAAGGACGGACGTGTGCAGTGTGCATGAACAGTTGGGGCCCCACAGTGGACCCAGAGCCCACAAAACCACAGGCAGTGCCCAGGGGACTTGTCTGACGCTATAACTTCCCACATGGCATCCCCAAGGGTCAGCGTCCCCTGTCCCTTGCCTGGTAGGGGAAGGGGCAGTGGCTTCATGAACAGCCAGGGTGGACACAGCTCCCACAGAGCCAGAAAAATTACAGCACCTACAATGGAGGCCACGTCCCACGTCCCCTGTGTCTCTACTACTTCCATTCCAAACAAGCAGCTCTTCTCAAACACCAGGAGCCAACACCCTCACGTGTCACTACATGAGTGTTCACCCTGCTGGGCTTTCGGTCAGAGGAAGGAGAGAGGGCAAAAAGCTCTTGGATTGAAGCCCAAAGGGCCCAAGGTCAGGTCAGACACAGGCACAAGGGAGACACTCAGAGGGAGAGTGAACGAGGCCATTAGGACACAGGGTTCCCAGTACCTTGGCCCCAGCACTGGCCAGAGGGGCAGGGTGGACACAGTGGGACGGGGAAGGGAAGAGCAAGGAGGCAGCGGTCAGCATCCTGCTCAACGCTTTGTCCCAGCTCAGCATTGTGGGAGTTACTTGCCGCCCCATCCAGCTGACAGAACATTGCAGAAAGCGCCGGGCCCCTCTGGGAGGCCAGGGGCTCAGGCCCCACAGCCTTCTGTCCTGCTGGCGAGGAAACAGCTCTGATTCCAAGGCCCTCCCTTCAGAACACAATGCCCTTCAAGTGGTGTTCTCAGAGCCAACAAGGAGTGGGAGTCAGCATTGAAATAGAGAAAAGCCAGCTTCCACCCTTTGGCGAGCCGCTTGCAGAAAAGGTGAACAGAAGAGTAGAACTGTTGCTAAACCTTGGGAGATGCCCATTTTTGCCAAGGTTTCAGAAGGAGGAGGAGGGGAGACTGCCCATCAGGGCCTTGGGAGCTGTGGTCTGCGCTGGAGGAATTCCTTGGGTGGTTAAATTTTTTTTTTAATTTTTAGTCTGTATCTTTTTAAGATTTTATTTATTTTTTAGAGACATGGGAAGGGAAGACAAAAGAGAGGGAGAGAAACACCAATCAGCTGAGCCCCACCCAGGGACCAAATGGGCAAACCTAGGCATGTGCCCTGACTGGGAATTAAACCTGCGAGTGACCTTGTACTTGACGGTACAACGTCCGACCCACTGTGCCATACTGGTCAGGGCGGTTTGTATCTTTGATTTTAAAGGAATACATACTTATTGTGAGAGAGTTTTAAAAGTAAGGGAAGAAGAAACTAATCATCAGCCATCACTCTCCCAGAGAAAGACACTCAACACAACCACGTTCCCTGCGGCTTCATCTGTATCGGAACGAACAGCGTCCTGAGTTGTGAAAACTGCGGGGGCTGGTCTGTCCTGGAGCCCAGCACAGCCCACCAGCCCCCTTGGGGGCATCTGTGTGGTATCCAAGTTTTGGCTCTTAGAAATTCTCCCAAAGAACCTCTTTCTAATGCATGAATCCTCGTGGCAGCTCTGCTTATTTAGGGTAGGTACCGAGAAACACATCCCTGAGAAAATTCCTAGGAAAATGGCTCTGTCACTGAAAAACAAAGGGAAGGCAAGGAGGCCCTGGGGGGGTTCTGGGAGGTCTGGGGCCAGGCCGCGGGTGTGGGCGGGTGGCCTACCTTGACCTCACGCCTCCGGCTCTCTTCATCCTCCTCATGCTCCACCACGCCCTGGCTCAGGTTGGTGTAGTTGGCCAGCTTGTTGAGGAGTGAGGACACCATGGGGTTACTGTCCATTTCCTCCTGTTTAGGATGAAGACACGGAATAAGTCACCTGGATCCCAAACTGAGGCACCCCCGATCTGACCAGGTCAACCACCCAGCAGGGCTCCTGTCATGTGGGTGCTCTGGACAGCCCATCTCCGGGGCCACCTGGAGCCCAGAGGTCTGAAATAGGCCGGCAGTCATGGCAGTCTGAAGTCCGGGGTCTGGGGCTAGAGAGCAGGTTCCAGGTCACCCACCCAAAGAGGAGGTCCAGGGTCCCCAAGATGGCCCAAAATTCAGCCTCCCCAAGCCACTCACGGACAGGTGTCAGCAGTGAGGGCACACGTGTAAGGGCCTCGGGACACAGACGGCTGCCAGCTCCCTGCCCACCCAGCGTCCAGTCAGGAGGCCCAGCCCCTTGGTCCACCCTTAGACTGGGGGCCTCAGGACCACAGCCTCTTCACGTGTCCAAATTACAGCTACTATACTGCCCCTTGCTTTCTGCAGGACAAAGTGTAATGTACCTCAAAAAGTGCCATGTTCTTTCCTTCAAAGAAACTTTCTCTCTCCATGTCGCCATTGTTAACGATGGGGCTGTTCTCTCTCGAGTGTCCATCTCCTGCTGGGAAATGAGTTTGGGTCCAGTTTAGGAGCTGAAAGGAGGTGGAGGCAAGAGGGAAGCAGGGGAACAACAAGCTTGGGGCAGATCCCAGCAACAGGAGGGAGTCCAGAGCTGAGTCGAGTGCGGGGCACTGGGGACAGAGTGAGCGCGGACGAGGGTGCAGGACTCTGAGAGCCACATGTGGCCAGTCTTCCTTCTCTGGGAACACAAACACACAGGTGACCTGCCAACACCACACTCTGCCCGAGACCCCGAACCAGCGAGGCCCACGAGGGTCCCAGCTCCCTGTCCTGGATGCCGAGAAGTGGGAAGCCAAGATGGGCAGGGACCACTGTATTTGGAATGCTGCCAGGCCGGACGTCCCGGGTCTCCCTCCCCAGCGCAGGTCCTGTGGTGGACAGTTCAGAGCCCGGGTAACCTTCCACCAGTACAACATGATGAGCCACGGAGACACTCAGCAGCCACAAACTGTCCTCCGCAAGCACAGAGGAGAGTGAGGGGCCCATCTCTGCCCACCTAAAACCCAGGCAGGAAAGGCAGTGCCAGCGAATTGGACCTGTGTCCCCTCCCCGACTTCGGTCTCCATGTGGGGAAGTTACATCATCCTGGGTGGCCCGGGCAGCCAGGTCTGGGCCAGGTGGGGCCCCACAGTCCTCTCACCCATCAGGCAGGAACCCCCCACCCCAACCTGGGCCACATTTCCTCAGCCACCGAGTTGAGCACTGCCCCCAGATAGTCAGTGAAACATGAGCTGGGCATCTCGGGGGACTGACGTGGCTACAGGACCCCCCGAAGAACAACTGCTCCTTCATCCAGACAATGGTCTGACCACAAGGCAACAGGCCATGTCCCAGAGGAGCACCGGGCCAGAACACCTGGGTCCGGTCTGCCAAGAGGACAGCGCGGTCGGCAACCCGGGCACAGGGGCTGGCGGGAGGGCGTCCCGGTGTGAGATGAGCCCAGAGACGCTGCAGAGGGGGCAGGACTGATGCGGAGGTGCCCCCACACCCTCCACACAGGCATGGCCTCCTTGCCCTGAAGCCCAAAACACAACTCAGCGACATGACACACTGCTTGCTGTTTCAGAAGAAAAAGAGAAAAGGGCCAGGACACAGAAAACCTCATCTACGGTGAGGGGCACACAGGCTAAATCACAACATGGAAGCAGCCAAGGTCACAGCTGCCCTGCCTGCAGGCGTGGTACCACCCTGGACCTCGAATCCCCCACACTCCCCACAAAGGCCAGAAGCCCCACCAAGCGCCTGCGCCTGCGCCTGGACTGGGAGGGGTCCCAGGCCCTCGCCCAGCTAGCAGGGGAAGGGCGGTAAGCACCTCTCACCCGCTTCTCCAAGGACAACTGGCAGCTGAAGGAGAACCCTGTCAGCCTCCGAGGGAAGAGGCCAGAGCAAGGCAACGGCGGCCTGTCCCCGCTCCGCTGTGCACCCCGGGGAAGAGGGTGGGTGGGGGAGGCAGGCGCCTGTCTTGGGGCGCAGCTGCCAGGAAGGGAGGGGGCCCACAGCAGGCACCGGCTCCTGGCAGACACCCTGTCTGTGCCCCTCCCACAATTAACCAGATACTTTCAGACCAAACATACAGCTCTCTTTATAAGGATAAACCTGCTCAGCAACCGGACTGGCCATTAGTGGGGATTTGGTTTTAAATATGGCTCACTATGTAATAAAAGTCTGCGCTTATTTTAGAAGACTCAGGGCTGCATTCACCATGAGTTACGCCCGTCGTGTGTCAGATAAAAAACGGTAACAGCATAGCACACAACAGGAGCACAGCTCGAGGTAAAGGGGGGCTCGCTGCAGGGGCTGGGACAATGGACAATAACGTCTTTGTGTGGTCTGGACTTTTTAAAGCTCCCCCCTGGGGCAGGGGGCTCTGGTAAAAGGAGCTTCAAGTACGATGGCCTTCTGTTCGGGAACTTCAAGTCCCAATGAGGGGTGCCTTTCAGGTCCCACCAACCCTGTGCTTCACCAGACTCCTGGGGACAGATACCTTAAAAGTAAGTCCACTGACCAATGGCCTGAACTTCCAGAACATGAAAATGCTCACAGAAGCGGCTGAACAAACGTAGCTGGCTAGTTTGGTTTGACAGCACCCTGAGTCCTGACAGGTCAGAGTGGCCTTGCCCGCGCTCCCGCAGCGGTTCAGAGCAGATCCCACCATGGGTGTTACAGAACTGAAATACAAGATACAGCCTGCAGGTGACCATCTCGGACCCCCACCTCCATAGCTACTCTCTCAGGACAGCCTGTCCCAGGTCCGCAGGTCACCTCAGCCAGGCCACAGATGAGCCCAGCCTGAATTCAAGGTGTGAGTTCATTCCCTGATCCCCAAACAGGGGACCTGAATACATGCTCTGAATTCAGAATGGAGAGAAAACCCACAGTGGTGTTGCTCTGATAGAAATCTTTGCATGATATGGGGCCCTGACCCCTCTAGCACCCTCAGTACATTCCACCAGGGACACCGGGGCCAGCCCAGAAGCCACTGGCAGGGACACTCAAGGCAAAAGCAGTGTGTATCCTGCCCAAGTCTCCCAACAGCCTGCTGACCTCCGAGTCACTGCCACCCGCGGGTCACCCCCAGCAGCACACTCGTCCTGGGCATGCTCATTTCGCTCCTCTAGTGGTGGTCACGGGCCAGCCCAGGGCTCGGCTCCTAACAGTGTTTCTGGACGAATGCAAGATGCCAAGGGCTCTGTCTAGACCAGCCTCTGTGTAGAGGCCCCCAGGGCCAGGCCCTGACTCAGTCACCCTGCACCCGATGCCGACTGCCCCAGAAGCGAGGGAGGGAGTGGGATGCACTGAGTTTTAGGTTCTCCTTTGATAAGCCAGCCTGGCCACACAACTTTGGACAAAGTCAAGCTCCTGGGTCTCTTGTTCCTCTTGCTGGGAGATGCAGCCGACATGGGAAGGGCCTTGCTACACAGCTCGGGCCAGCAGCTCCCCACGTGTCCCTGGGCAACCACGAGGTCTGCTCTCAGTTCACCACCAGCCCAAACCGATACTGTGTGTTGGGAAAGCACAGGCTGGTAGTCACGGCTCTCGGGACTTGTTTGCAAGTGAGTGCTGAGGCCTGACCCCTCTGCCACCCGCACAGCCAGAACCACGCACACCCAGCAGCTCCAAGGGCCCCGATGTCTTTCCCAGGCATCTAATGCTCACGGGGAGCAGGTGGATCGTAGACATGCCTTCACACACCTGTCCACTGGGATAAGGAACAGCTGAGACAAGGTGTCCAGACAGAGGACTCGAAGGAAACTAAACAGGTATGAAGTATCCCCAGCGCTCTCCACGGGAGCAGAAAAGAACACCACCAGTTAAGGGGCCATTTAGTGACTGTTGACACTGTGGATGAGCCTGACGACAGAGATGGACACCTGGTGAAGTAAACTCCTCGGAACAAAGACCGGGACAGTGGGAGCCCAGGGCATGAAGGACACATGAATGGCCGGGGCACAGAGCGGGCCAGGGCACCCTGGGCCACTGGCCGGGGACAAGCTGCAGACCCAATACCTGGTTTCCCAGGTACTTTGTGGGCACCAAAGTGACACGTACGACGAGGGTGGAAAACGGAGAAACACACCAAACAAAAGCAGCAGCAGATGCGCCCTCAGCATCTGGGGGGGTCCCTCTGGTCTGGAGGCTGCTCCCCACGTGTGACCCACTGTGCTTCTTCCCGTTACCCAAGCCATTTTCCAGTCATTAGTCCTTTAAAGAGAATACATGTCCCTTCATTTCTGAGAGCTGCCCACTTAGTCAACTCTCAGGTGTGCTACCGACAGCACTCACGGGCCCAGCAGAACGCACGGCCGGTCGGGAGAGGAGGAGCGTCTCTGCCGGTGAACACGGGGCTGCAGTGCGACCCACACCTGGGCAGGGCCTGCGTTCGGAGGCCCCTGACAGCATCTGCAGGCACACGGCCTCCCAGATCCCAAAACATGGCCCGAGCACAGTGCCCGCGCAACTGCACTCGACTCTGCTGAAGTCAAGACACTCCCATAAAAACCAATGCTTTGACCCGAGGGACCCACCTGCACCTCCGCAGTATGGAAACATCATCCACACAGCACCTGGGCGGTCCCTGTGAGTGCCCTGCTTACTTGTACCTCTAAGGACGCTCAAACTTTGTTTCATGTTTTTTAAGGACAGATTACAATTAAAGTTTGAACAAAGGAAACTGGGTCCTACAGACCCCCAGGTGGGAAGCAGGGCAGGCTTCAAACCCCCTCCACTCCCCAGACACAACCCTGCAAGCCTGCTGGAGCTCTGAAGGGCAGGGGTCTTCCTCTGGTCGAGACCCACCTGAGTTTTGGGAGGCCACTCACCTTGGCTGGCACCCCCTTCATCACTCTGTTCGTTCATGATGCCAAGAACTGGGCACAAGCCTGGGCACAGGAAACTCTCAAGGTGCTAGAAGGGCCGGCCAGACTCACCAGGCCCACAGCGCCCTCCTGGGCAGGACCCTGGGTGATGCCCCGTCAGGCACGCAGCCCTGGGCTCCGGGTGTCCATGTTGCAAGGTGGTGGCCTCTGATGGCCCAGGATGAAGTGGACAGCTCCAAGGCAGGATTGGGCGTCCTGGGCCAAGCCGCCCGAGGGCAGGACCCACACCTGAGTCTCCAAGCAGGAGTGCTCTCGGCCATGGTTAATCTGCTCTAATAGAAGAACCATCTCGGAGATGCCCCAGCCATGGTTAATCTGCTCTAATAGAAGAACCGGGGTCTGCTGATCAGATGTTTAATCACAGTTCTGGCCCGGAGGTCATGTGATCAACCCCAAACCATCCCCAACACTCCCTCTTCCTGCCCAAAGGTAAACACATTTCTGACCCACCCCAATTCTGAGGACTGAAAATGCACACTGGCCTCACAATTACAAAAATAATGTTAAAATGTGTTGAGTTTACAATCTACATGTAACTATCTGTTGTCGACTGCACAGAAAAACAACGCTCTAACGTGGAAGGTCACAGCCCAGGAGCCTGTGA